CAAATGGTCATTCTCATAATAAATAGAAGCAGACAGCATGGATGGGGCTGCTTTTTGTTTACCAAAAAAAAAAAAAAAAAAATCAATGTGCTGCATGCGCTCGAGCTGCGCCTGGATACTGTGGGCGTGATGTTACTGTAAGCCAAAGTGAGTTGGCAGAAAAAGAAGACGACCTAGTGTAATATCCTGCTCTTCCAAATCCATGTTAATTTGTTCAAAACCAAACAAACACATCAAAACAGACGCCATAAATCATAGGCGGGGGAGGGCAAGAAAAGTGCAAGCTTGAGCAAACAAACAGTTGGAAAGTAATTTACAAAGTGTGTCAGAAACAGGATTAAATGTACCTTCTGAAGGTCACTTTTGGTTGAGGCACTGGTCTCCACTTTAGGGGCAGTAAAATCACCAAAGTCCTGCACAAAGCAGAGATTTGTGTGTCAGCTTCCTGAAAATACAGCAGAGTAAATAAAGTGCATGTCTAAGCATGTAACATGATGTGCTCATTGGTAACACAGCCTGTTTTTCTACAGAATAGATCAAGACCTGAGGGTGGAGTGTCTGCAAAAATGCAAAGGATTAGGTTTTACTCTCCTTAGCTGAGGCAAAGAAGCAGCTTTGTTACAAAGTTTTAACTGGCAGGCAATTACAAGTTGTTTTCTTTTATACTTTGTCCAACTTGAGGGTGGAAAAGTTCACACAGCACTGCATAATTCCAATATGTTGCATCTGAGTGTCACATTCATAACATTACAACACGCTGGAATGTTTTCCGCTTCAGCACCAGACAAGTGCAAATAGTTTAAAAAAAAAAAAGAAAAAAAATTAACTACGATGACTTCTGCTTATCCTCACAGTCTGAGATAGCAACTGTAAAAACCGATAAGTAATATCTGTGTACCAACCTCGGCTGATAAAATGAATATAAACAAAGTCTGCAGGTATCATTGGTCATAGTGTATATGCTCTAAACTAGAGAAGAAGATGTATAAAAAAATAAACCTTCAATTAAAGTAACCTTTAGTGTTCTTGTTTTGGGAACTATGTTTTTTTATCATCAGAAAATGACATAAAAAATAACAAGGGATTATTTCATTTTTGAGGGGACTGGAGGGTTTGTATTCAATAGCGATGAAGAATTAAATTTTTTATGCATTTGTTTTTATATTTCAAATAATAACACCAAATCACCAACAAGGAGAGGAGCATTTCCAGACAACCTGTACACAACTTAAAAGTATAATTCTTCACCCCGGAACGTCACTGCCCATGTATGGCAGAGAAGAGCGTTGTTTTGTTTTGTTTTTTGTTTTTTTTACATAGGGCTCAAATGTTAACTGTCGCTGTGCTAAAAACTAGCCATTTTTTTCTCCTCTCCTTTTGATTTTGATGTGGTATATTTTTTTTTAAAAAAATTATGTGACACATGAAAAAAAAATCTAATTAAAATTGATCTCAAATTAAAACTTCATTTCTAATAATCCGTTTTGAAATACAAAAAAAAAGTTAGTATTTCAAATTAATATATTGTATTTTTTGTATTCCGACGACCGCATTCAAAACTCTAAAACAAGCTCGGATAGGTTTCCTCATCGCGCTCCGGAAAATTCCATGCATGCTTGGGAAAGAGCAAAAACATTTTAAAAAAAACAACCTGCATTTTATTATTATTCGCACATGTAAACAATTGAAGCTCCACAGTGGGAGTTGCCTGCAGTGACGTCACAAATAAATGCTTGCAGTTGCAGTTCAACCTGCAAGTTAGAAACGCTTTAATGAAATGCAGCAATGTTTCTGCACACACTGAGGCGACGTTTTGCACACACATTAGAAACATGTTCAGTGAAAGCAAGTCAACCGATGAACTTGGTAGACGTTGCTCAGAGGAGGCGGAAAGCAGCTGGGGAAAAAAAAAAAAGCACAACACCTAAAAGTTCATTTTAAAAAAACTTCATTGAAACCATATTTTTTTTGAAAAATAGCAATAAAAACAAACTGGCTAATACTCCGCCGACTTACTGGCATGTTAATCCGGAGACCTTTCTTCTTTTTTGGCATTTTCTTTGAGCTCGCCTTGCTGGACTCCATCAACGTGCTTCCCATTTTCTTCTCGTTTTTAAAAAAGCAAAACAACAACAACAACAAAAAATGTGTGATAAACGTCCAAAACTGAGTAACCGACTGGTTTTCGACAACCGAGCCTCAGTCAGCCGTGCCCGCTTTGATTTCAGCTGCCCCCTCTGCTCTCTACTACACCAAGCGAGGCTCGTGCACCCGGAAGTAGGCTCGGCTGCGAGAAAAAGAGGCAGGGCGCACCTCATACGCCACATTGTTTACAGGTGTTCTGGTGAAATCTGTCACCCGGAGGAAATGCGCTCCCCTGCTGTGTTTCCGGGCCCGATTCCAAAAGAACACAAGCAGTCTGGTCCCGGCCTTTTTAATCACAGCTGAGGCAGGAAGCGGGTTTTAGTAACATTTTAGGCTCAGACGCTCATTCACCTGTCGGTGAATGAAAAACGGACCATGTCTTTAAAATTGTAGGCAAATTTAGAGTCAGACTGTGAAGAAGTAGCAGGGTCACTGTGAAGCGCTTTTATTTTAAAATTTATATATATATTTACTTATGGAGGCAAAACCTAGGGCAGACTGCCAGGAAAATCGGTTTTGACGGACACTAGTTTTGACATAACACCGCCCGAGTCTAATGTAATTCCCCACCAACAGATGTCAGTATGATTCAGATATTCATTAGATCGTGCGGCCATGCAGGAAACATTTAAACAAGGCTAGAGTTAAAACAAGTTGATAGGACACATTCACTGCAGAGAGCACAATTAACAAAGATGCAGTTAATTTCATTTTATGTTTTCCTTCTTATTGCTTAACTGTATGTTGTTGCTTTTTTTAACCTTGGTTGGTTGATTTTCAGGTCAAGATCTTGTTTTTTCTGTCTTTTTGTCATTTTAAAATTACAAACACAAAAGTTCTATATGGAGTTGATATTTCAGCAAAGGACATGCATTTTAGACTTGATTGAATTGCCTCTCATGCTGCAGGTTTCCAGTCACAGAAGATCAGCAACATACTTCCCTGTAGGCAGTGTGATCTTTTCAGCATGTTCTTTATTCTTCCTCCTACAGACAACCTCTGATTTATTGACGAAAAAGCTTCAGTATTGATTCACTGCGCTGCAAAAAGGAATCCCCACAATCTCTCTGGCTTATTTATATGGATGTGAGCAAACAGAAGCTGAATTTTCTTGTGCTTTTGGTCAGTAATGGTGCATTTCTGGAGTTCAAGTATGGAGCTCTTCAGTGTTTAATATGTAGGCTTACTCAGCCTCTGAGGTTTCATATAAGAATGTGAAACCTCAGAGTCTGATGCAGGTCTTTTGGAGTCAAGTCAATAGTTTGATGTCCAATTCTTGGAAAATTCAGGGTCAGTGTTCCTGTGTCGTAGTCTTTAAACATTTCAGACAATATCCTGGACTTTCTAACATCAACAATTCTGGTTTTAAGGTGTTCAATGTCAAGCAAACCTATTGCAACTAAGACAAAGTTTCTTCTCTGGGTTGAACATATGTAGACGAGAATTTAGCATTGAAACCTTATGAAAATTCTTGCGTTATTAATCTCAATTATTCAAGCCTTGATTTCGAGATTTAAGAGAATAATTTCAAATTATTTAAATTCTAATGTTGTATGAAAATGATTTTTGATTCACTTACAATTCATCCGGAGAACCAGTGACTTATGAGCAATAGACGGGTCCTAAAAGTGAGCCCTCCAAAAACACATACACAACTTGTAACATGTAAAATAGTTTATTTTTGTAAATGTTTCTAAATTCAATTCCACAAAATCCAAACCTCGTACTCTGTACACTTCAAAAGGCATTTTCAAAAATAAACAACAAAAAGAAGAAGAAAAAAAAAAAATCTTGACTACTTTACACGACCAAGAAAATGTAGCACAAACACACTGGCAGGATAATGTAATATCATACAAGAGAAGAAAAATATCCAAGAAACAATTTTGTTACAACCATTCATTGAGAAAATATATACAATTGAGTTTTCAGAAAGTTAAAAAAATACATGCCATATACATTACAAGTTCTAAGACTGTCTGCAAAATTTTACAGTCGACTTGAAATTGTGCACGCAAAAACTCGTCTGTTTCTAAGCATGTGACTTGTGAAGTGTCAGTATAAGAAATATTTTTGATTAAGCAGAACTCCGTTTCTGTCCAAGAAAAGGTGGAACGACCGTTGGTTCCACATACAATTCTCTCTGTCGCGCACTGGTTCATCTACGTTACATGATTAGATGTTTGCACCCCCCCACCCCCGTAAAAGTAAAGTAAAAACACTTTGCTGCTCTTGTTTAAGATAAAAAGTTAAAAAGTAGTTGGTTTTTTGGGGGGTTGTAACTCCTAATTCACAGTTCTTTAAAATCAGACTTGATTAACAGCAAACTGATCACAATGATCCTTTTTTTTTTCTCTCTCGATTCTGTAACTGATAACTCGTTAGTCAACAAAAATATTTCTTTCGAGTGGTCAAAGTATGTGTAAGTCACAAAAAACACTACGCTACAATACCTTACTTTTAATACAACAAAAATACTTTGTGAATTATTGTGGTTATTTTACAAATTCTGTACAGAATAATCATAATATATACTCTCAAACTGAAATAACGTCCATCTTAAATAAATTTCAATGACAAATAAAAACAAACAGAAAAAAGAAACGATTTTAAAAACACCCAAACATCAAGAAGGTTAAGGTAGTATTTGGTCGGTTATTCCTATAGTTTTGTTTATATACATTTGTACAAAAGTAACAGCATGTCATCTTCAATCTTCAAAAACAATAGCCTTCTTTAACTCAATCTCATCATTTTGAGAATAAAATTCACTCACTCAGTAATAAATACAAAACCTCTCAAATTCCACACAAATCACATGACAGAGACCTATGATACAACTGACTCATGGAATCAAGTATTTAAAAGTTTTTCTGTGTGTGTTTTTGTTTCTTTTCGTTTTTTGTTTTTTTTTTAGTGCAAGTTAATATTCCCTTCACGGTTTTCATTGCTGTACATTCCTCAATCAGTGATGTCTACATTTAGTCTAACGGCATACATTATTATATAACAAAAAGGGCCTGCCCTTAGTTAGCAGTAAGGCCGCACCCTGCACAGTGCTTTCTCATTCGCTGGTGGATTCTGCACCCCCATGTACACCACAAATATACGAGCAGATACATACAGACAGATGGAGGCCTTGTGAACGACAAAAGCCTCTTTTACATATGGCACAAGTCACATCCTGCTACCGTGTTGGATTTCTCCTCCAGACAAGTTTTTTTCCCCCCTCCAAAAATCCTCCTGAACTAGCCTTCAACCCTTCTGTTGATTTTTTTTATTTATTCTTCTATTTTGTTACATCGACTGCAGTGTGGAGCTTTTCTTTTTCCTCTGTGCAGAGATCATGACACTCACTCGCTCAAGCAAGGAATGGTTTTGATGTTTAGCTCAGTTAATCCACTTCCTGCACTCAGGAGCTCGGCAATGGCAAGCAATCTTGTGCTGGCCTTCGATGGCGTCGAACTGATAGTCAAAACACAGCTGAAAAACAAGGTAGGGAAATTTGTTGCTGAGCTCCAACAATGTATTCGAGCAACAACTTTTTGATACTCACCTCTTCTCCTTTTTCAACTCTGCGATTACAGCTGATGATGATTTTGTAGCCTCTCTCGAATGTAACCACCTCAGCGACACAGTTAGGGGCACAAGAATGGTTGATGTATCTAAAGAACAATAATGCAAAAATAAAAATCAGTTTTTACACATGGTTTATAAAGCATCTTCACATAAGAACTCCACACTTCTCCAAACTTTCAAGCTCCCAGTCATTTACCAGTATTTGCTAATATCAAAATTAAAACTTTACAAATGGAAGATCATTTTACAGTGGCTAGGCTTTACATATGAAATTAGAACAGGAAGCGGGCAGTGGAGTAGAGTCTAAGTCTTAGACTCTAAGATCTGCAAATACAAATGTTTTTTTCCATTCTTGTCTGTATGCAAGACCTGGAAAATACTGACTTTTTTATTTGAACCTTAATGGAGAGTTTTTATACGGAGTGCAATTGAAACCACCTGTTTTCAGTACGTGGCTGTAAGAACATTAGTTTGTTACAAGTAAAAAGAGATCACTGCTTGCAGCAGTACGCAGCACATATTAGCCAACAGAGATGTATTTAAAGATGTTCTAACCTCAGATAAAGTTTAATGTTACACTCATGACATAAATCAGCACAATTTGTAGTGGCAATTAATTCAAGCTTTGCTTTACAGAGGAAGCAAACAGAGACTGACCTATAAACTGTCTATAATAATGTCATGAAGGGTTTGATAAATATGGTGCATGTAAGTTCCTAAAACTCACTGCTTAAACCTGAGCTTTTCCAGCTGCTTTTAGAGCACAAGAGAGAGAATCGCAGCTGAGATGGTAACTTCTTCTCTACACACAATGAAGTGGTTATTTCTCAGTGGTCACACTTTGAAACAGAATTCAGATCACTCTAAAGCCAGATGACATTTTAATATTTATAGATTTCTTATAAATTTAAGGCTATGTTGCACATCAAAAAAAAAGAAGCATAAATTACACACAGGCTTAAATGAGCATGTTTACGCTGTCTGTCACCTTAGCAAACCTAAAATAGAAGTCCACGCTTCATGCAAATAATATTTCCAAAAAATGTAGCAATTTTTCTTACTCTATTTTAATGAAGACCTTTGTAAAATACTAATATTAAGTATGACTGAATGGGTTTCATGTTGTGTTTGCAAACTGCCTCCCAATCAGGGATGTTTTCTAATTACTACCAGGGCAACCGGATTTGGCTCTGGTTCCAGCAGCTGAAACAAGCAGGTCAAAATAACAGCCTAGTAAACTACTTAGTTCACTGGAAATGGTTCCTGCTGTTGGAGCGTGCCTACTGTACAGCTACAGCCACATTTAGGGCAAAACATTAGCAACATCATCTTTAACTGTCTCTAATTTTGAAATTGTAATTCAGACACACACACACAAACAAATGTAAAGTGACTCATCAAAAATCTAATATTAATCAAAAACAGGTAAAGAACTAACAGGTTTTTGGCTTACAGCTACATCAATATAGTTTGATAAGTTTCAGACCTTGCAAGCCCTCCACTTTGAGTGGCATCCACAACATGCTCGCTGTCGATGCGGAACATGAACACTGCTCGGTTCTGTACGAGAATAAGAAAATTAACTGTTATTTTCAATTAAAGGTTCAGACAAAATGCAAAATTAATTATGTAGAGTTTTTTTTTATACCTGAGATCTGTAAACCTTTGCCTTCCTGATGGCGACTTCATTTCGGAGGACAGTTCCATTGTACTCAATCACCATGGTTTGCTTTTCGATGTCTCTAGCAGCAAACAGCCCCAGGCCCTGTGTTGATATCATGTTAGCATTGTGTCACATTATGTCGTTAAGTGTTTATTACGATACAAAAAAACAATACTTAAAACTTATCTTTAAGATATTTCCTATTTAAAGTAAGACGCATGTAACTATGTCAACCCAACAATGCCACATGGATTCAAAAATGTTAAGTGTCACTTTTGATTGTTTTTTTAACCAAGTATTCAAATAATTGCTCTCTGGCCAGCCTTGTTAAAGATACACTTATAAGCTAGTAGAGGATAATGTAATTGCCTAAATACACAAAGAAGGGGCCTACAATAAAATTTGGTCAAAGCATTGATTTCTTTGATTTTTATTTTGTAAATTAAAAATTACAAATCAATTTAAGTGTCCTTATTCTTTAGAAATTTTACAGTTTGGATACCAGAATAACAAAGTCTCTAGATATAAAAGTTAACATTCTCTATTGACTATTTTTAGTCACTTATCCAGATCTGTAAAATCGTAAAAGCAATTCAAGACGGCGCAGGAAATCCGTAAATTTAAAGACCTGGCAAAAGCCTTTAAAACCAGAAACTTCAATGAATTGTATTTCAGTCACCTGGATGCGGGAGCAAGCCAAATACACATTACTTCTCCACTCGCTCTTCATCCAGCGGTACTGGGAGGACCTGGGGTGCACAACTGGAGTCTTGCTGTGAGGAACACCACCTTCTCCTTGCGCCACATTTTGATTAGACCTGGCACTGCTGCTGGACACAACCTGTGGTTGAGGTCTGGCATTTTGAGGCAAAGTGAGAAAAAGGAGACATATTAACGCCAATGCTACAATTTTGCTTCATTGAGTTCACCTTGTAAAGCATTCATACTATTGTGATTCTGTTGGTGTTCTCATATGTTTCTGTGGCATCCAAGTACTGCACACTTTCTATTTCAGCCAATTTACTTTTAAAATACTCAGCTGGCGACAGGCTAAAAGGGCAATGTTGGCAATTCATCTGTTGCCAACATATGCAATACAACAGCAGTTAATGGGAATCAGCAAAACGGACAGAAATTTTTATCTTGACATTTTGTGGCATTTATCACAATAGTTATAAAAACAACAAGTATTACATTGGAGCGCGTGCTCCAGTAAGTCAGTCACTGCAGGCAGAGGTGCATTTGCACAATCACTGCTATAAAATTAAACTTTACCCATTGTCACGTAGGCTATTTCAGGCTGACAGAAATAGCCTACTTCATAGTTACATTAAGTAGAGTGACTGTACCACTAAACAGTACTCATTCATTTGATTTAATCATGTTTTAATAATATATTTAATGATGGTGGCATGGCAGAAAGAAACAGCTTCTGATCATTTTAAAGTTAGCCAGCAACATTTATTGTGATCACAATAAATATTTTCTTCTATGAAAATTTACTAAAATGTCAGCCTACTAATAGTACGGTAGCTAAAGTTAATGAACATTTGCTAATTTTGAACGTTTTTATAACTAAAATAAGTAGGAACCTTAAATTACTACCTTTAGTACCCTCCCTTTCTCCAACACTTTAGCTTCTATAACACTTGTTTTTTTCAACAGATGGGTGTGATTCACACAACTTACCAGAATCACCCTGAACATTTGCTGGAAATACAATTTCCTTACTTTATTACAATGTTGTGTATCGTCCTTTTGTTTCAATGATGTGGAATGACTGCATGGCACTGGGAAAAAAAAATGCTTACAAGGCATTTGGCCCGGTATTTTATCTACTCAGAATCCTCTGACCTTGGCATGTTGGATGTTTGAAACTGACAGCTTGACCTACTTTATTACTGATTTTATCTGACTATTTGGGGGCACTAAGAAAGATTTGAAATGTTATTTAAGAATGCCAGTTGATCCCTAAATATGGGATATGGAATAAATATGGTAAAGTAATGCAAAAGCAAAGGGGTGAATTCCACACCCTTGGTCTCACTGTGTATCCACTGTTCTGTATGGAAATGCATTAAAAGAGACACACATACTTCAAAGATATAACTCAAAGTTCTATTTCATTTCTTCAATTTTAACAGGCATAGAAGCTAATTTACGTAGTTACCTTATCACCAGCGAAGTGTGGGAGGAACTTGTTTTTGGTTCTGCGCGTGCACACCCCGCTGGATTGAACATGAGAGGCAATTCCACAAGAGGGTGGCGCCCGTAACGGAAAGAGTATCTGAAACATGCCTCCACTCCTGGGAGCTAGAGCAAAGCAGCACAAGGATGAAGGATATAGTTCAGATGTTTGCCAATATTTTTAACTCTTAAAGCAACAGGAACACAAATTTAGCTACAAACCGATTCAGTAATTCTGGTGACTGCAGGGACTGTGAGTCCAAACAGATCCTCTCCTTTCAGATACACAGGGAAGAGCCTCAGAGTGCCAGACTCTGCTCTTTTGTCAGAAACTGGACCAAGCACCTTATCCCAAACTCCTAATCGAAATGAACACAAACTGCTTAGGAACAAACTAAACTCAGAAAAAAAGTCTAGAAAATGATACTTTCCTTACCTTTAGGAGAGGTGTCCGTCAGGATCAAGTCTTGGTAGCCTTGTTCAACGACTCTGATTGTAAATTCTGGAAACCCGTCATTGTCTTCAACTGAACAGACATAGCGACAACGGCGGTTGCCATGGCGCATGCTCCAGTAAATGCGACAAGCCTCATAGCCAACGGGAAAGATGGTGGTCGGTGAATGGAAGGCGGACATCTGTAACGGGGTGAGTTGTCCTATTGCATGCAACACCAAGCTCCCTACTCGAAATGTGTAACCCAACTCTGGCTGCTGCACGGCAGTGGCGATCTGTCGCACTTCGTCTCTTTGAACATAGACGCGTCGGAACACAGCAAAGCAGCGGAGCTCATGCTCCAAGGCTTGCCCTGCTGTTCCCCGGGGCCTATGGGCATGACAGAGCATGGTCTTGTCTTTGAAGAAGGTGCACTGGGCTTGCAGAGCACAGGTGAAATGATAGACGTTGGTACAGCGCAGACGGTGGCAGCCGCTGGTGGCGCCGGTCTGCTGGCAGTAGGCGCAGCGTATCGTCTGACCACGGCGCAGCGCGAGCTCCACGTTGATGAGGGCGCCAGCTTGGGTCTCGTACACTTCAGTTGACCATAGAGCACAGTTTAGGTGAACCCATACGTCAAGGTCTAGATTTAGCAGCCTTGCCGGCCCATCAGTGATCCCGTCTCCAAACTGGTGACAGAAACAGCACCGCCTCTTATCTTTGAGCAAAGACGGAGGGCGCAGGGATGCTCCTAGTTTCTTCAGAAGCTCGTCAATCTTATCTTCCTCTGGAAGCTGTGAATTCATTCGCGGCGGTAAAACCACCTGAACACTCCACTTTCTCCAGCGGAGACCTTTCTGTCTCTTTCCCTGGTGCCAGCCATCATGGGACCGTGGCCGGGCCTTAAGCTTCACTGTCACCTTAAGGGCATCAGCTTTGGTCTCAGACTTGGGTGTTTCTCCAGCTGTAGGGAAGGGGATGGGTGGAGTGGATGGAGGAGACATTTTGGGCTGAAGCTGGGCGAGGCAATGAACGTCCAGTGAAGACATGTTGTTGTTGTACTGATGCTGAGTTTTGCAAAAACTCTCGCTTTGGTCAGAGGCAGGAAGAAGGGACATAGACTCCTGAAAATGTCAGAGAAAATACAGCAAACAGTTGTTACTTGGACCATGTGGGTTTAAACTGCATGTTTCAAAACGATGCAAACCTTTGCCTCTGTGGTGGGTCTGGACTGAGGGGTCGGGGAGGAACAGTAGAGCAGGAAACAGCTTTGACTACAGAAGACCAAATTTTCATCCGGTCTCAAACGGCCTTCATACTCCTAATATAAAGCAAAAAGATGAAGAAATTGAATTCTTTACCCAGCCAACAGATCTGAGACTGATTTAACTTCAGCAGGCAGGACTAATAATATAAAATAATATGTTCAGTATTACTGCAGAAATGTTGGCCTTCAGTATGAAAGCAGATAATATTTTAGACTCAATGAAGCTTGCATGGTCAATAAACATGCCCTCAGACCATCGACATTCAGCTTTAAAAAAAAAAATCAATGTGAAAGCAGCCTTTTGAGGGGTTTTTTCTATCCAAGAGCTGAAATCTCAATCAAATGTTTGATTGCCAGAAGGATATATTATTAACCCAGAGAGCACTGCTGAGTTTCAAAAGTAAGCATGATATACGTATCGAATTTATCACCAGAAAAGGGAGGGGGAAAAAAAACATTTAAAGTTATTTACATACCACAGCACTGAACAAGTTTGAAGGTTCAATTTTGATAGATTATGCATATCTTGTGTAGGATGAGTTTGTTTGGTACCTTCATGCGAGCAGGGAGATCTTTGATGGCTTTCTGAACTCCATTTCCCAGAACTACCACTTTGCAGTGGCAGCACCAGTGGGGTTTACATCCAGCACTGGCAGGAGTCTTATGGTCAGCTCCTCGAGCTACAGCAGCGCCTGAGGCAACACATATTGATTCTTAAAAATGCATTCTGGCATCAATATTAATCAACAGCAGAGAAGGTATGGGTTAGTATGTATATATACTGTTCTGTTCTATTCTCTTCTATATTCATACATCAGTATGCAGAATGGTAGCCAACTTCCCCAAGTGATCGTCAACATTTAGTAGAGAAAAAGATGGAGTCAAACCAATAACTTTCTGACTCACAGTCAGCTGGAGCTGCAAGAACAGCTGGATCTATTCTGTCACTATGACATTTTAACATTTAAAGGAGTCAAGATGAACCTTCTAAGCAGGGTAGTGGCATCATGCCTAAGGTTTATTTTCTTACAAGTAGAACTAATGAATTGGACAAAACAGCTGGGTTCTCCAACAGAATAATGATCATAAACATGTAACAGAAGAAGTTTTGCTGTGCTAATTTTAAGCTTCTGAAATGGCTTACTTTTCAAACCTTTTAAAATGTGCTGACTATGCTTTAAAAAGAGGTCTGTTTCAAGAAGCCATTTTCAGTGAGCTCTACTATTTCTAATGAGAAAAGTGGTCAATTATCCAGACCAAATTATACCAGGAGTTAGCTGCTTACAACAAAATGTGTCAGGTTTCTCTAAAAGATGGTCAGAGACTTTATACAATTCAGTTTGCGGATTTACAGAAGTTCACCATAATTATTGCTTAAAATCTGTTTGCCATGATCTTTCCATTTAAAATGGTTCAAGTACATCAAACTGACGAAATTTAATCTAATGTTTCACGCAAGTAAACTTCTCCTTGGCACTGTTTGCTTTATGTAGGAAAGACTTATTGGATCAACATGTCAAAAAAAAAAGAAAAAAAAAAGATTAAACTTTCAGAACAAGAAAGAAAACAGTGCAAACTGTCACAGCTGCAATTCACTCAAATCATATTGAACTTGTTTGACTACAAGTTCTACAAGTCCCGCTTAGAAATAAACAAAATTTAATCACCTTTGGGTTTAAAAGAAGAAGAAAAAAAAAACTACACACAGAGAAGCGACTGCAGCATTCTTCCACAGTCTCATTACGTACAGCTAAATTAGAAATGACATTTCAATTACAGCCCTCTCAGCAACACTCTTGTTTAATTTGGTTTCACTCTCTCACCTGGGCTGTTGGGATGGAAATGGAAAGGATGTGGCTGCTGCTGCATCATTCCCTGTGGCCCGGTGGGACGCATCAACTGTCCGGACCGGCCGTGGAGCACGGTGTGGTCCCCCGGCCCGTGGAAGAACATGTGAGGCCGCGGCTCCATGCCATGGGGACCCATGCGAGGGGCCATAGATAGAGGATGTCTGTCCGGGGTGCTGCTGACCTCATAGCTGCTGGGGATCTTCACACACAGGAGGTCTGAAATGGCCGCTACCACACCTGTGATGTTCTAAGACAGAGAGGTATACATACATACAATCAAATTTAAATCATTTTATCTTGTAAGAATCATCAAATATTTTAACAAATATAAATATTTGTTTTGAAACGTCACACTAACCCTGAAATTATAATTTTATCACTATCTATAGTTTCTAAACTCCTGTAACTTCAATTCTAACCGATGAGTTTGTGATTGTCTTCTAAGCAGATTAAGACTAGATCTGATGCTAATATTTTAGCTGAAGCAGCCATACAGTCAGCTTACCTCAGCTGCAGCTGGTCTCAGTGTGATAGCAACAGAAACCAGTCCTTGTTTGGAATCATTAGACATGGGGCCAAAGGGAGAGCCAAAGAACATCGAAGAAGGTTCAGTCTTGATGTCCTGCAGTTTGATCTCTGACCCTGAAGAGTAAAAAACAACAACAAAAAAAATGAATGAAACTCAGATCACATTAAAAAAATAAAAATAAAACAACTGCACAAAATGGCTTAGAAGCTTGAGTTCTGAGTTAAAAACACTTCATAAATTCTAATTAACTATGAGGTAATTAATTATGTTTGATTGAATTATGTAGGATGTTGTGGGTGTTCACCTTTCCCGTCAGGGGCAGGCAGCATGGGGAGCACGGGAGACAAGCATGGGGATGGTGGCTCTTCCTTCACCAGAGACAGGTCTGGGTAGCGACTTATCTCCATGCCAACCACACTCTCAGGAGATGAGGAGGGAACGAAGCTGTCAGGTGAATCCCTGTCCTTGCACGGCTCCTGTCCTCTATTACTGGTATCGCAAAAGAAAGTAACAGTCAAAAACCGTACAGCCGAAGCGAACGATCCACTTCTAAATTACTGTTGATTCAATACCTGAGCTCCTCTTGGTTGTTATGAGGAGGCGTGGGAAGAGAAGCTGGAACATCAACAGTTTTGGGTCCTTGAGCGATGGCCCGGGCTAAAAGATCTTCCTCAGCTCTAAATGGGACGTGGAGTGGCTTGGGCACCAGACCTTTGGAAACTGGAAATTAATGGAAGTATAACTTCCACATTATAGCAATACTGAAAGCATTATTAGTTAACAGTAAAGTAATTGGAGAAAAAGAAAAAACAAAAAGCATCTTTCTTCCACAAAGGTGCAGAGATGATTTTTCTCTAGATGTGCAAGACTGATGATTACCCTCAAGGATATGCTGATGTAAGTGTAGTGAAAGATTCCACAAAGTATGAATATAAAACCTTTTTCATTTTATATTTGTAAACCATTTAGTAAAAGACATTTATTTTTCCTTACACGTCCAAATTATCTACCACCTCAGCATGTCAATGCACTGACAATTGTATTTGCAATTTGATAAAATGTGAATATGTTTGAGTGGTATGAATATTTTTGTTGTCCAATGTGTATATTTACAACTGGTGCAAATGGTGAACTGTTATGTAGTTGTCTTCAGAAAGGTATCGACATGCTGCTAAATGTTTACCCATGGCAGCAGCTTTGCTGGCCAGCTCTTCAGTTGTAGCGAAACCGTTGATCATTTTCTGTCGATTCACAGGTGGTGGGGTTGGAGGGAGAGACGCCGGTGGTGTTGGCGGATTGCTCAAATTATTCTGCTGCGGATTCACAACCAATGCAAAGTCAGCACACGCTATGTTAATACGGTCTTGTATTTTAGGTTTTTCTTTTTTCTACTGTTACAAAACCTCACCTTGTAGGCCAATTGGGAGTAATAATCTGAGACTCCATCCAGCGAGGCGCTTCCAAAAGTACCAGACAAAAGGTTTTCTCCATTGAGCTGGCCGCTGCCGTAGGGAGCAAAATGGGCAAAGTTCACTCCAATCAATGGTTCCATGAGGGGCAGGAGGGAAAGCTGCTGTGTGAAGACAAAGAAACAAAACAATTGCGAGATTAAGGATAACAATGGACGTGGGAACTGTGTATTTAGTTATTAAAAAAAACAAGGTTTTACTGAAAACACAGCAAACTCATTTAGATATCGTTTTCCCTGCAAGTCAACTTTCTATCAATACTCTCAGATACAGCAATGTGAACACAAAGCTGCTTTAGCAATCACCTTTTTTTGTTCACATTTTGTTGTTTACAGTCCTTGAGGTGGAAGTCAGTGACAGCTGGAGTTAGCATTCTTTAAGATACAATCCAACATAACAAAAATATGCCTGAAAACTAGTTTGTGGATTTTCACAGACCTAAGACACATTCATCAAAATGACTAGAGAGGCATATTTTAAATTAGACATGCCACTTTGTCTGCAATTAATCTATGGAAGTTTTAATAAAATCAATAAACGTTTCAATTATTTTCCAATTCTTTAAAAATACAAATTCAGAACTTTTTGACAAAAAAGTAACTAGAAGGAAGAAAACAGCAAAGCAGTCTTACTTGTTTGATTTGTGTCATAACGGTGTCAGGACCTGAATGGATCAGCTGCCTGTCATCTCCTTCCTTCTTTCTCTTCTTGTAGCGAGCAGGCTTCTCTCCTCCCTTTGGTGGTCTCTTATTCCTCCCTTTCTTTTTGTCTTGTTCAGGAAGCAGAGAGCCAGGAAAGTCAGAGGTTCCATCAGAATAGGCCTGAATTTGGAAAATAAAAATAGTTGCATTAAAAAAGTGCAATTTATTTCTTTTGTGCTGTATACCGTAAAAGGTTCTTATAAGAAAGTTGCAGAAAAAGACCAACATCAACATCTGTTAAACATAAAATGTCCTCTTCCGAAGACGTCAAGCTTTTGAAACATATTGAGAAAAGTGAAACTGTAATACTAAAATAGTGTAGTTTATCTTTATCATCCATGTAAAAGAAACCTCAGTTTCTAAGAATGATACATAAAGGACAATGAAACAAAAAGTACATTTCAATTTTATTTAAATCACACAAAGAGACAAAATACCAGATCTGACCTCTGGTTTTTGCTTAAGTTCCATGTCGCATAAAACTCTAAAATATAAGTTAGTAGTTTGGGTTTATGTGAAACATTGGTAAAACCTTTGCCGGCCTATTGCTCACTGTGTTGATCTGTTCTCTATAACTATAGGATAAACAAACACTGACCCCGTTGCTGTCCATGGAGCTTTGCCTCAGCAGGGTTTTGCAGTCGGTGGCCTCCTCCTCCTCTGAGCGCAGGCTGTCCTCTGACCTCTGCTGTGACAGGCCAGGTGGAGGCGTGTTCTTGTTCTTCAGTAGATGTTTGAGCAGCTCATTGCCAGCCTCTCCCTTGTTTGGACTCTGTCCAGTGGGGAATGGAGACATGTTCCCTTTGTTCCTTTCTTCCTTCACAGAGTTCATCTCTGAGTTGAAGGACCCATCACATTCAGCGGCATCGGTCTGCTCCAGCTTTATGTTACTGAGGATCCTCTCATGCTCCTGAGCCTGCGTCCTCGACACGTCTGATGCTGGAGTGGGATGACCAGACTGTCCACCAGAAAGCTGCCTCTCCAGCTCTGAATGGCTGGGCGTGGAAGACCCCAGTAGTGGAGACCTGGACAGGTCCTGATCGCCAAAGACGTGGGTGTTTCTGGTAGGGGTCGAGGAGGTGTCAGAGACGCATGGCGTTAGAGGGGCTGTGAGGTCCGAGTGTGGAGTTGAAGGTGTCTTGACTGAATCCGCATCATCATCTTTCTTCTTTTTGCGGTTTCTTTTCTTTTTCCCTTTTTCATCTGGAATGATATTGGAGTACAGTTGGATAAGAGATTGACCTGAGCCTGGAAAGTTGGATGGAAGCGGTGTGGCAGAATCAAACGGAGAACCCTCTCCGGGCATCTGAGGCATCATTCCTGGGCCACTGAACTGGCGGGGCCTGGACTGAGCGTGGGGGAAGTTAGGTCCTGGTATGGCGACACCGTCTGGCCCTAAAACTGACCCCGAGTCTGGGGGCATCATCCCATTGCCCATCATTGGTCTCCGGTCACCCTGAATGAACGTTCCAGGCGGGGAGCCCAAGCTGCGCTGCATGGCCTGCTGCTGGGAAAACATCGGTCCAAGTTGTGGTTGCTGCAGCGGGGGTCTCTGAGGTTGCATGAAGTCTTGCGGCAGCTCAGAATTGAAAAACGGCATCTGAGCGAGAGGTGCACCGCTGCCGTCTGGGGTCATCATCCCTTGCTGCTCCATTTCCATGCGATGCTTCAGAGCTCTCTGACGCTCCACTTCCTGCATGAGCTGCACACGCTGCCTCTCCTGCTGTTCCCTGAGCCTCTCCCGCCTCTCGCGCTCCTGGAAACCTTCGCTGAAGGGGTTGTTGTCGTCAAACTTCACACCACCCGCCTGCATCGGTTTAACCGCGCCTTGCGGGGCAGGTGTGCCTTGGGGCTCAACGGGCATCTGTGAGTGCTGAGAGATGCTACCCATCGGTATTTGAAGGGGCTGAGCTGAAACTGGAGCAGCTACCTGAGGGGGCATCATGGGAGGCATCCCCGGTCCACCCAGAGGCATTGCGGCCCCAGAATGCCAGCCCGTCGGAGGGTTCGGCATGCGTGATGCTGCGTTTGGTTGACCAGGGTGAAGAGGCATCTGCATCATGGGGTTCATGGGAGGCTGGACCATCGGTGGACCGCCAGGAACCATGCCGTGATTGCCCGTTGCTGAGTGAATAGCGGGCATGATGGGGGTCATGTTGTTCTGCTGTTGTTTCACTCTGTACTCCTCGATAAGCTCAGCGTGCTCTTTTTGCTGCTTGCGAATCTGATAAAAGATAAAAACGGTTTCATCAGCATGATGAGAATTCAGGGTTCCTTACGTTGTGCTTCATCAGACTTCTAAAAAATCTCAAATATTTTGATATTTCTGTCAATGTCTAGTTCATGTTTAATTTAAAAAGCATTCATTATAAACACTCCAGTATAAGTATAAATAAGATATAAATTATGAAATATATACTTAAGTAAAGTTTGCCAGACTGCAACATTTTTGAAGGATTAAGATATTGCATAAAGAGATTAAACCTACATAAAGCCAAAACTGTAAAAAAGGCAAGATGAATAAATAGATAAAGATGAAAAAACAAATGATTGATTGTGGCAGATGGACATGTGGATGAATAGAAAGAAGAATGAACACATAAATAGCTGTTGGAGAGAAGTATAAAGGAAAGAATGGACAGTGATTTAAAAGATAGAAAGAAATAATAGATGTATTCACAGTTGGACAGAATGGATGAATGAACAGATGACTAGCCTGAGACATGGATGAATCAGTGATAAATCTGCTGAAATGATGGATGGATGGATGGATGGATGGATGGATGGATGGATGGATGGATGGATGGATGGATGGATGGATGGATGGATGGATGGATGGATGGATGGATGGATGGATGGATGGATGGATGGATGGATGGATGGATGGATGGATGGATGGATGGATGGATGGATGGATGGATGGATGGATGGATGGATGGATGGATGGATGGATGGATGGATGGATGGATGAGCAGACAAACAAACTGAAGGGTAAGTTGCTTGATAGAAGGTTGGGTTAACAGGAAGGTTGACTGAATGGATGGAAAGTTAAATGGACTGAAATTGGTGGATGAACTGAAAGATTAATGCATAGGTAAGTGAATATACTTTAAAAAGAAAATGTATCAGAGATTGGTCAGAACTGAAATTCGTGAGCTGCTGTGTTAGAGGGAGATGTGGCAACTTTAATTGCTGCAACCAGTTTAGATCCCTCATCTTCAGTGGGACAAAGTCTGAAAAACACTTTTTCCAGACCTGGAAATAATTAAATCAAATTCTATACTTTGACCATCTGAAGACAGTGTAGAAATCCTGGGTGTTAAATATACATGTTATAGATGTTTTCAGTTCTTACTGTTGGAGACAAGTTTTTTATTACGCTATATGGAATTCTGGACTCGCTAACATTTCCAGGAGAGACAAATACTGTATGCGTTTCTGTTTGAATTATTCTGTATGGATACTTTACAGGTTTGACAGAAGAGACTGCAGCTAAACTAGATAAATGATATCCCTTCTTTGACAATTAAATGGTTTGCTTACAGATAAACATATTTATGCTGATGGCTACCTGCACATAAAGGTCACACAGATCTCAGTGGTGGAGCTCATCAAGTCTTGCATTTACCTGCTCCAGTTGCTTCTGCACTACACCCTGCTGCTCTGTGACATGTTTGAGCTGCTCAGCATCCTCCTCAGGGAACTCTCTGCCTGCCTTCTTAGCAGTTCTCTGCTTGGCAGACAGGGCTTTCTTTGACTTTCTGTGAGCTCCGATCTTCTCTTCTAGAAACTTTTGCTGCATTTGAAGTAGTTGCTGAGTCTCCTGAAGCCACTCCTCGTACTGAGCCCTCTGAGGGTTGTCTGATGGAAGGAAGATGGATGTTTTCTTAGCAAACTTGACAGCAGAAAAAACAAATATCTTAACATTTACAGTCACAACATATCTTCAGAAAAATGATGCTTCACAAAAAAAAAAAAAAAAAAAAAAAAAAAAAAAAAAAAAAAAAAAAAAAAAAAAACATAAATAAAATAAAATGTCTTTGGAAAACTTACTGACAAATCCTGGTCCAAAGTTTGGAGGATTTGGTCTTTGTACTTGAGTCAATTTGCCATCCTGATACAAACATTGACAAGGATGTTATTATACTGACAACACAAACTTGTGGTATTTTCTTTAGAAAATTGTTCATTACCGGTCCAATGACTTGTGGAGGGATGGGTGTGCTTTCAGGACAAGGTGGTGCATGACCGGGAGGGAATCTGTCAACAAAGGGTATCATAAAATGCTTGTTAATGTTCTCATTTAATGCTGGAGAATGAAGTATTATTAAGCAGGTAATGCTAATCATTGAATATCTCCTTGTGAGAGTAACTTATTTACTAGTATGAAGTACATGTGCATCTCATATTGGAGCATCATTGACAAATATTTATTTGATAGCTGAATTCAAAAAGTGAAACTCAGCAAAACCAGAAATATGGATAGGTTTTTAGATCCAAGAGATCTTTTTACATCCTTGGTTAATTGTCCTCTTTTCAATTGAAAGTAACTTTTTTGAAAATTCTGTATGGCATTTAAATATCTCACTCTGTGTAATAAAACACAAGCTAAAATGTTTAAACTGACTTAACCCTTTAAAGATTTTCTAATTTATTGAGTCACACCTGTAATTATTTTGATTTCAGTATGAATATTACTACTGTGCAAAATCAGTGGCCTTTACCTGTTCATCACCATTGGAGCCATCCCCATGTTGTTCTGAACCATGACTTTATTGATACCTTTTAAGGCAACCATCTTGGCTTTCATAATGGGGTCAGTGATTGCATCAAAATCTGCCAAATAAATGTACGGTCAGATGTAATCAAAGCACACCGTCTCTAACACAAAATCCTTCAAGGGTTGGCGGAGACCCTACCAATGTTAGGGAAGAAGGCGTCACTGGAACGTTGTCGGATCATGGCTTGCATCTGACGCTGCTGTTGTTGTTCTTGCCTTTCCTGGTCAAGGAGGTCTTGCAACAGGAGGGGCTGCTCCTCCAGCAGGAGAGGACGGTGTTGCTGGCTGTGCAAATTCTGGTTTAACACAGTCTGCTGGGCTTGACTTAGACCAGTCTGGTCTACTCCAACTTGTTGGTCGGCTCCAAAGCCAGAAGCAGATAGCTGTCCTGCAGTGGCTGTGTCTGCTATTGTTTGACTCACTGTAAGCGCAGAGGTATGCCGATTATCACCGGCCGGGTTCTGTTGAGCCATGAGGTTACCTCCCTGACTGACGGAGTCGATGATTGGATTTAATGACTGCTCTTCAGGCTGCTGTTTAATGAGTAAACTAGAAAGGACTGGGGTGGAGTCAGAGAGCGCTCCCTGCTGTGATGAAGGGTTTTCAGGTCGTTGCTGCTCTACTACTTCAGGTGGCCCTTGACAGTCTTTGACCTCTGTTTTAATTTCTTGATCTGGTTCCAAGGAGTCAGAGCTGTGACTCCCAGGTACTTCTGTCTTAAGTTCAGAGGTGGATTGCTCACCTCTGGACTCTGACTTTGACGGAGCAGATGCTGAGCTAGATGAAGGCTCAGTTTCAGGAATTGCACTTTTAGGAATGTCCGTAGTTTCAGCATTATCATCCATGGGATCACTGAGATCCAGTTCTTCATTGAACATGTCTTTCTTGATATCATCCAAGTCGGGGTCTGTGTAGGCAATTATGTCAAATTTGCCAGATGTCAGAAAGTCATCAAGGTGTAGGTCATTTGTCTCCAGATCCAGGTCTTTACCATCCTCTGGATCCAAATTGAGATTTTCTAAGTCAGCATCAACCAGATCTTTGACCTCCACATCCTCAAGATCTTTGACTGCCGAGTCTTCTGCATCTAGTTTTTCCTCCACGGCTTCACTGTTAGTCACTGAGACAGCCTCAGACTGTCCAGCAGGGGGTGCAGAGAGGATGATGGATGATGTCATATTCTGGGTCTCATTTGAAGCAGGTTGGCTCATTGATCTCATTAGAGGAGCTTGTTTGATGGCATTTATTCCTGGCATCTGGGTTTGCTGATGAAGATTGTCCAAACTGGCAGACAAGTGCAAGTGAGCAGACTGACCGGGAAGAGAGTCCACCATTTTAGGCCCCTGATTCAAAGGGAACCTGGAGTCATGTGGTCTGGGAAAGCTCGGCAGCCTTGCACCCTGGAGATTAGGGTCCATGCCTCCTTGCATGGCGCCAGGTGGAAACTGCATGCGCGGCCTGTTTTCTACAGCTCTGTGTCGCAGCTCGATGAAATGCTGACCCATTATGTTGTGTTGCTGCATAGGCACGCTGCGTGGTGGGCAGTGGTGAGGCATACCCATTGGGCTTCCTCCCATGCCTTTTGTCATCTCGGTGGGCATGGGCATTCTTATCTGTGGAGGAACTTCCTGCATTGGGTGTTCCCCTCTGAGGAAGAACTCTTGAGGGCCATGAGGACCTAAAGCTGCAGGTGGAAATCCAAACCTAAAAAGGTTGAAAGATAATTTAAAATGTAAGCTTTGTACTACAATTTGGATTTTGAAAAAAACTAAGCACACAAAACTCAAACCTTGGTCCCTGATGTCTTAAATTAGGATCTCCAGGATGTGGTGCCCGCTGGATTTGCCCGTCATTAGGGAAGCAGACTCGCTGATCCCCTGGAAAATTTCCAGGAAATCGTATTGGTCCTCTCATGGGTCCTTGTCCAGGATAGGGTGGAGGAGGCCTGTTGAACATTTCCCCTTGTTGACCAGGGCCCTCGTGGGGCCAAGGTCGTGGGGTCCCCGGAGTTAAGTTGCCAGCAGGATCCTGAGGGCCCCTCTCCTGTCTGTTGGCAGTCCTCTGTTGTTGTTGCTTGAGGATTAGCTCTCTAATTCGTTGTCGCTACAGAACAGAGAAAAATAAAAAGCATTATTAGGATATGAAATGTTGAAAGAATTTTTTTCAATGCATATATATTTTACTCTTGGCATTTACAGCATTGTCATTTTCTTTGGGGATATTTTTTCACATTTTCTGTTTGTTAAGGTCAAGTAAAAAGTCATAAAGAACAAAACTTACATTAAGAAAAGAAAAAACATTTTGACAACGGATTGTTTTTTCAAAGATAGACATGATTTGTTGGCAAAAATTCGTAAAAGTATAACAATGCAAAATCCAACTTTTAATGTGAGAACTTCTAATTTATTCACTGCAGAAAAGGTATGTTCTCAGAAAATTGTTTATGCCACTAAAAACTGCCTTAAAATAGCAGTAAAAATATATATTTTTTAATTCAGCCTTTAAAGAGACCTTTTCACAATTTGGGTAGCTAACCAAACATGCTCTTCTTCTAATAATAAAGTTGAGGAGTTCCACTTCGGTTGCTAGAAAACATGTGAGAGGCTTATTCATTTTTGCTAGTAACAACAAAACTGGATGAAGACGCATATTTCTCTCATCATTGAACACATTGGGCAAGATCATAGGGTACTCCAGCTAAAAGTGGCAACTTGGGGGTCGCCAAGTCTCCATATCAATATTTAGAGGTCAATTAAATGCAACCAAGTCTTTGCGAGTGATACCAGAAGAAGGCATTTGCTGTTTGACTATCAAGTATAAAAATGTGGAGTTTACTAAACTCAACAGGGATTTATCTTGAATGAGTTTTTCTACACATGCACTCCAGCTGGGTTTGGTGTGAAACAAAGCAGAGAGTAGAAAATCCCTTCCTGGTCCTCAGTACAAAAGCATCTTGTCCCTTAGTAGAAAAGCATGTTGGAAGGCAGTGCCTTTGTGGCCCCTTTCCTCTTCCAAATGTACAGGAAAACAAAATGGATGGCAAAAAATGATGGTGTTCTAAGCCAACAAAACTGAAAATGTATGACTGGGTCTTTCAAAATGGTCAGAAAACAGAAAATCAACATTCTTCCAAGACTAACCCAGGCTTTGCAAGCCCCAACTTGTGAAAGGTTACAGTAGAAGAATATCTGCTGTCTCATTACCAAAAAGAGGTTTCACAAAGCATTAAGATAATATGTACCAAAAATTGTGATAGTTGTCTGACTTTATTAAAGACTATTAATCGTAAATAAATACATAAATAATAAATACAAATCAAAATTTTTTTCCTCAATTTTCAATGTGAGATTATGCAACAGCAATGAAAGATTTGAAAGGTTTAACACATCTTCACTAAATACATTATAATCCATGACAAATCTACAATAATCTCCATAAATACCTATTCATTATGAAATTGACCATGTAGCTGCAGGGTCAAAGAGCAAATCAAAGAGACAACCAGTACTCGCTGCTGTTGAGTCATCTCATCAGTCCTGATCATCAATTAGATAACTCGACAACAGTAGGAGCTGGTTTTCCATATGTGACAGAAGAAAAAAGTATTTTTTCTGGAGGGTTTCAGTTCTGAGGTACCTGTTTTAGTCTCTCCTCCGTCTCAGCGAGAGCCACACCTTGTGATTCAGAAGATGAAGCAGGCATTTGTGGGTTGCTTGGCATTTGGGTAGGATCTTGAGGGCCCGCTCCACTGTTCCCCACAGTTGTCTGATCTTTTATTTCCATTTTCTCTGTTGACTGTGGACAAGGCGCCATGGACACTTGTTCAAATGAGTCATGCCCAGGAGTTTGACTGGGTCTTGTGGAAGGCGATTGGCCAAATCCATCTTCAGAAACTCCAGGGTGTTTTGGTGTGAGAGAGTCTGGATGAGGAAACTGCTCTTGAAGCCTGGTTTGAGGAGGTGAGAAGGGATCTTGGCCTACTCCTGGTCCTGGCCTTACCATAGGTCTGTTATGCACATCAGAACCAGGCCTTGGGGTCCCTGGAGGTTGGGCATAAGGATCATTAACCATCGTTCTGTGTGCCCCTGGCTGTGAAAACATGTCATTACTTCCTGTCCTAGATGGCCCAGGTGTACTAGCAAATGCTTCTACTGGCCCCCTTTGGCTACCTGGTGACTTAGAGAATCTTTCTCCCACAGAGGGCCGTGGAGTACCTGGTGGATGACCAAAAGGATCCATTGAGTGGGAAGGGGACATTCGTTGTCCAATGTGGGGCTTATGAGCAAACTGGTTCATCCCACTGGGACGAGGAGTAGCAGGACCCTGTGAGTAAGGGTCGGAGGACGGACTAGATGAGTTTGATGACTGAACGTAGTTGTCATGAGGACGTGGGGTGCCTGGTGGTCGAGCATATGTTTCAAAAAATGGTCGAGGTTGAATGCTGTGTTCATTCATGGATCGTTGGTTTCCTGCAGGCTGCGAAAAAGGGTCTGGACCTGGCTTGTTGGGACCAGGGGGCTGGGTAAAGGGGTCATAAGTAAAACGATCTGGCCTGGGTGTGGATGGTGCATGTGCATAAGGATTTCTGGACATTTGAGGAACTGGTCCTGACTGAGAAAATGGGTGCCCCTGAGGGTGATGCTGACCCATTCTAGGTGGACTGGTGAAACTGTCATTTGCTGATGGTCTTGGGGTATGCGGAGGATGTGCATAGGGGTCGTTTGGTTGATTTTGGGAGAATCTGTCAGTGGGATGTTGACCTGGCCGGTTGAAGGCATCCTGAGCCTGAGGAGGGGGCATTGGTGTTTTAAAGAGAGGAACAGCTCCAGATTCATTACTTCCAGGTATTGGTGCTATTAGAGGCCTAGAGTAAGGATCAGACAAAATCATCCTATTCTGGGCCATGCGCTGATAGGCATCATTTCTTATCATGGGCCTTGAGTATGGGTCTCTGCCAGGAGAACCCATTGGGGATCTTCCTTGAGCCGCTTGACTACCCCGGGGTGGTCCTATGGGTTTCAGAAAGGGATCCATTTCCCCCGTAGGTCTGGGTGTATCAGGAGGTTTGGCATAAGGGTCATTGCACACTGATGTGGGAGAACCAAATGATTCATGTGCTGGAGAGGGTCTGCCTCTGTCTTGCGTTTCTGTCAAAGAGGTGGGCGATTTACCTGACTCCGCAGACATTCTGCGACATGAATTTGGTCCAAGAGGCGGTGGTCTTGGGGTCCCTACCATTTTGGCATATGGGTCCCATGGAGAAGATGGTCCAGAGCCAGAGGATCCTGGTGAGAAAACTTGTGGAGATTGAGGCTGGGACGATGGACCAGATGGAGGGGGAGGGGGTGGTCGCACAAAAACATCCTCTGACGGACAAGATGTTGGGGTTGCTTGTTGTTGTGGCCGTGCAAAAGTTTCTTTTGAGTTTAACTGCTGCATCGGGGAGGAGCTGCCATTACTGGGCTGAGAGGCTGGACTCTGGTTACCACTGTTGGTACCATCTCCCTCTGATTGACTGGTTGTCTGTTGTTGATTTTGCTGTTGTTGCTGCTGCTGTTGCTGGAGTTGTTCATTTTTTACTTGCTCCAATTTCTGTGTGGCTTCAATCTTGGCCTGTTGCTTGCTTTTCTGCCTCATTTGCTGTCAAGACAGAAGACAGAGAGAGAGATAAGGAGAGATTAGATTTCAACAAAGATGCAGAATTTATTCTCATGCCAAGAATGAACTGGACCTACTAACCACCAATGTCATCACGGTTAATGCGAAGGATAGTGCAGATGTTTAGGAAGCGTTAATAAACGACCACTTCTTAGCTGTCTTTATATAAAGTGGACCTGGCGCTGCATTCTCTGACTTCATTGCATACACTCTTACCTGTCTAAACTTCCACTCTTGTTCATGCTCTGACTCTTTTGGTTTCAAAGGGTCTTTAAAGAGGAGATCTGTGTCTAGTGGTATGTTGGGATCAAACACCTCAGGGGGATGTTGCTGCGGATGATGCCTCTTCACCGTCTCATTCGACATCTGGACTTTGTTGATGCGCAGGGCTGCTCGGTTATCTCTTGCCTTTTGCTAAACAGCAAAATCAATCACATTGACAAATACAGGCGTCACATAAGTATTTCATAACTATAAAAGTGTTTTAAAAACCAGTTTCTATGCTATTATATAATAATTTTAGATATATTAGGTCCTTAGTGAAATGTTCTTTACCTAAAAAGAAAATGGATGTTTGTTTTTTTTTTTAATGCCAACAGGCGAAGTTAAGTTTATAAGGTTTTCCTCTAAACTATGGCTTTGCTTTTCTTTCATTGGTTTTGTCAACAACCATAGACGAGCAAAGACACTAGATTGACATTGCTTTTCAGATTAATAAATGCTAAATAAAACAGGAGGTAGTCCTATTGAACACTTTAATTTGTTTGCTGTCCAAACAAAATAAACAATGCTTCAAACAAAGGTTACAAATGCCGCTTCCTGTATCACTCCTGGACTACTCACACCTCTGAAAATTTGCAGCTCACTTTTGTATCAAGCATTCCCACTATAAAACAACTTGATTATTGCGTATCAGTTTTTCTGGGTTGCGCAGATGTTCTTTACTTAAGATAATCACAAATATGTTTTATACCTCAGATTCAGCAGTCTATATATTTCTTAGTATTAATATAAAACATCACATTACAGATTAGCATTCATATTCCAATATTAAATAAAATCAATAGGATTATGATCCTCCATTGACCAAGATACCTGCCTAAAGCAACACCCTTCTGGCAGGCGTAATATATACATACTATATCCTTTTATTGTAAACCACATTGGGGCTTTAACAGTCTATAGGGCTGGATCCTGCCCTATACATGTTCATACTGTATAATATTTGAAATTAAACCGCTTTAAGTGGGAATTTAATATGTGAAACTGAAGACCTACTTTTATTGGAAAAAGCAACTTATTTTAATGGTAAGTGGTGCAGTTTCTCTGTTTGGGTGGCTACATCAACATCCCAGTGTATGCACCAATGTCCATTTAGACTAAAAATAAAGATTCATGTGGAGTTTTTATCAGGACATTGACTTCTAAGTAAGGACTGCACAATACATCTGATCCCTGTTCTCACAATTATAGATTGAACTAACATTAGTAGATAATACAAAAAGTTAAATACCAGAACAAGCAAAAATCAAAATTTTTATGAATTCAGTTAAAATTCAGTAAGATAGTGGGAGACAATGACTGTCAACATGTCATTTTGCTTTTCATTGTTTAGCTGCATAGATGACAGGACAAATAGCTCATAAAAAAGGAAGCATACTCGCCCTTTCTCTGCTTGAAACTACAGCAGAAGGTTTTTCACTTCAGGCATCAGAAGCCAGTATTCTGCGTGTTTTGGATGTGTCCTTGGTTCAATACACTTCATTCAAATGATTGACCACAGACTCTAGTAAATTCAGCCACTTAAATATGCTATGTCAATGTGCTATGTAAATAGATTACATCTCAAACATGCAGGATTCTGGCTCTTGAATACTGGAGCTGAACAGCCTTAGACAATTTGCAAAATTACAGAAATCTACTTTAAATTCTCAGCTATAAAGGTGAATATGAAACGCCTTCAAGGCCAGTAGAAACATAGGGTCGCTAAGAGACATTCACAGCAGTTTTTCTATTCAAACCTCAAAAGTCTCAAATCGTGAAGATAAATGCACTAGATAAAGCACAGTCTTAATTCAAAAATATCGCAATTTACTAATGCTGAAGATAAGCGGTTTTATTATTCTCTTCTAAAGAGTCTAAAAGGTTTGACAGGATCATTCACTGCACTGTCAAAAACCGGGAGGCCAGAGACAGGAGAGGGATCTTACCACATATGGGGCCCTGTCTTGTGAGCTAGCTTTCCTCCAAAGTTTAGCAATTTGCTTTACTCTTGTAGACCAATCTGTTGGAAGTACAAAGAAATTAAATGCAAATTAAATAATGCATTAGCAAAACATGCTCAAATAAAAGACACTGAAAAAAATAAGTATATAAATCTGGAAAGATAAATTAAAGCTTCTGAACCAACTACTAACCTGGATATTCTTCTTTAAGGTTGGGGAAATTGATATTTGTATATAGGACAGGCGCAACAGTGGCAAGCTCCCCTAGCGTTTCCTCCTTCTCCCACTTGAGTGTGCTCCTTTGGGCGTTTGACATGGCTTCAGTTTCCCCATCAGGCAAAGACCCGGGAGGCGGAGGGCCAGGGCCATGGGTAGAAGTTGGCCAAGAACCAACTGCCTCTCTGGCCATCTGATTAAATTTACAATCCCTGCAACAATATGAGAACAGCAGCTCAAGAAACATCATTCAATGTCAAAGACGACAAAATAAGAGCTTTATTAATAGCAAGCTATGTGTTACCTTGGATTGTCAGTGAAAGGCATACGGTTCAGAGGGGAGAAATTTTCTGGGATGCAAGGTCCTGTTGCAGGATTTGCAGGGAAGCGTGGGTTTGGTCCCCTCATACCATTGATCATTGGCATCCTTGGAAACATCGGGTTACCTATATGAAGCATTTATTGTTTTAAAAACCTTGATGTGATGCTTACATTCAAATAAATACAAGATGACTGGACAGTGTACCTGCATTATGATGATGCATACCAGTGCCAGGTGTAGCAGGGAGGGGTCCTGGAACCTGAGGGTGAGGCACCTGTGGTGGAAGTGGTTGGCTCGTACTCGGGCTAAGGACTGCAGTGAACAGATCTTCCACATCCTTGCCCTCCAGTTCTGGAACATAGTGGCAAACACAATGTTGCGCATACTATTAATATATCTAATCTGATCATCAAGTAAAATTTCTAGTCTATTCTTCAAACTCATTAGCTACTTTGTATCTGAAAAATACCTTACTATAAATATAGTAATATTATAACATTGATTTATTTTTGGTTCTCTTTCTTTGCTACACACTGAACTGCACATATAGGTGGCAAAAATGTTAAAGTACCAACCTGGAATTTTGTAAAATTTGCTGAGAATTGATTCTGAAAGGAAGCAAAATCATAAAACATAATTATTCAACTTTATGAATCAAATACTGCAAGTGTTTATGAAATTTCAGAGTTAAAGTACATGTCTACCCCGTCTAAAATGAACACACAAAAACAGCTGTTTTTGAAATAGAAACTATGCTAACCACTAATATGGTTAGCATATTAGTGCTAACCAGATCAGCACTAATATGGTTAGCACTAACCATATTAGTGCTAACATGGTGAGTGCTAACTAACTAAATTATGTTCAGATTACGTAATTTACACATTAAGCAGTACATAGTAAACCCAACAGAATAAACCTTCATAGAGGGAAATAAGGTGATGAACAAAGACATCTGGAATGACGTTATAGTGAGGTTATAGTGATGCTAATGTTATTTTTAAATGTCAAATTCACAATTCACAGATCTACATTTCAAAGACCCTTTCAAGCCATGAGGTTAGAAAGCATCTTAAGGACTAAAAGCTGCCAGTGCTAATTGACTTATGATATTTTTTAGTCTCAGAAATTTATCTGACAGAAAAATCCTGATTAGACTCAGTTTGATGTGGAATGTTTCTGTGTAATCATAAATTGTGTGTTTTCCCACTGACCATCAGTGACCATCTTGTCTAGCTCCGGGCTAAGAATGCCGTCCAGGGGTTCTTCTGGGATGGTTCGAGGTGTCCTTCGGCCAGTCTGAGATTGGGGCGCTACTGGGGAGCCATCTGCAAGTGGCCCAATGTCCAGTCCAGCTGTGGAAACACAGACAGACAAACAAAGACAGATGTAACACAAAGGGCAAAAAAGTCACCACAGGTGTTGCTCTTAAATGACTCAATGCATGAGAACTTGTTTAACTAGAAAGGCAATTAAAAACAATTTAAAAGTCGAGCTCGGTTTTTACAAAACATCTAACACTTTTTATGTGATGAAAAGATTGCTTTTGAAAATTATTTAATAAAACTTAATTACAGTGCATAATAAATGTATGCACTGTAACTCCCAGGAGTGCTTGAAATTAGAGACTGCCACAATTTTCATTCCATAAACATCCCACAAGATGTACTGCACAGCTTTTTGTCAGGAAGCCAAAGGCATGAAGATAGGGGCCTTTTACTGCATTCAGAAACTAAGAAAATTTCTCAAGGCCCTTCACTCTCTACACTGCTCTTTTTTGAATGCTAGAATACCTTTGTCAGTTTTTTTGTCCATTTTAAAGAAATCTTCTTTGAGCCAGATATGAATTCTTGAGAGAATATTTGAAGGCTCACAATCACATAGACTGGCACACCAAATACATTTGGGCAAAAAAACTAAAGGTGTGTTAGACAGATACTAAGCAGCTCATGAGTGTTATTGCAATCTGAAATGGCTGAGAGAGAAGGAAAAAACAGAAAAGCTAGGTATGAAGTCACTATAAAACATGCACACCCAAAACAGAGAAACACACTGCTGGAGAAATGCACTAAAGCAGAGAACTGGAGGCCAAAGCACCCTTACCAAAAGGAGGAGGTGAGCTGTCAACCTTGAACGGGCAAAAATCAAGACCTACAAGAACCCAAAACCAAGTAAAATAAAATGGTGAAGACAGAATAAACCAAACAAAAGATAAAAACCAAAACGAACAATTAAAATGAAGCAATAAAGAAAATAACAAAGGTGAAGAAAGTAAAATAAACATGTTCCCTGGGAATATTTCTGTATAAGGAGTAATAGAGGATTACATAAACCCATCACAGGTGACTATTAATATATTCTGTCACTGTCACTGCCTGTGAGATATTTGACGCACCAGAGTCACCGCTTGGCTTTCCGAGCACTCCCAAGATGTCTGCACCAGTGTTCAGAACATCAGCTAGATCAACTAATGGTTCCTCTGTCGTCTCTGCAGATGAAGGAAAAGAAATAAAAGGAAAAAAAAAAAAAAAGGAAAACCAAAGTGTCAAAAATAATAAATGTTGATGAACTGACATGAGGGATCTGGAGCTGCTTGTTAGGATATCACATGTAGAACTTGTTGTTGATTAAACCTTGGATGAACTAAAATTTTCAAAAGCCATTTTTTCCCAAAAGAGGTCAAAACAATATTTGACTTGCATGGGAGTTTAATGTGATATAAAAATACAAAACAGGTATGTAAAACCTGTTTGTATTTTTACAAACAGGTTTACTGAAACAGCGAGTCACAAGTCTTGACAAAAGGAGTCAAAAGGTTTTACCTTGTTTTTCAATCAAGGTTAAAATGATTGAAAAACAGTAGAAACACAATATTCTTAATTTCTGTTCCTAGAAAAAAGGTACTATTTAAATGCTACCATATAATTAAGGTTGTTTCAACTATTGTCTGCTCAAAGATTGCTCTTCATTTTTGCATGCAGAGAAACCTATAAGTAACAGTCTAAAAAGACGAACATCCTCTATTCTTAAGTAATAATTGAATCTCAGAAAAACAAAACAAAAAAAGAAGCAAAGCAAAAAAACAAAACTGAAAAAAAGCTTTGTTATGGGAGAGACAAATAGCCATTTTGGTTTCTGGCTTGATGTTTTGTATATGTAAAAAGTTTCGCCCATTAAAATAAAAAAAGAAAGTCACATTAGAACAACAAACTCAAATGTATTTTATTGGGATTTTATCTGGTGGAGCAAAACAAGGTAATGCATTACTTTGAAAAATAGATGTTAATAAATGTTTTAAATAAAAAGAAAAAGTAAATAAAAATTGGAAAAGTTATGAGTGCATTTGTATTCAGCTCCCTATTCTTTGATATCATAAAAACAAAATTCAGTTCAACAAATTCGGTAAATTATTACCAATAATGAAAAAAAAAACTTTGCCAGCAAAATGTTATATGTGGAGGAAATTAACCCTGCATGTTATTCTAAACACATTATCCTATATTGAAGGTGGCAGAATATTGGAGCGGGGATGGTTTTGTAAAGGGGGAGAAATTGGACCCATTTAATGGGAGGCAAATCCTGGAAGACAACATATCAACAGCTTCAAAACGCTTAAAAACTGAGCTTTATGTTCCACCAGTACAGCACAGGCAAACATCCAGACAGAGGTAAGGATGACAGCAGCTCAGTCAAAGTCCAGAAGTAAATCTGATGTGAATTTGACACAAGCCTTGAACGTGAGTGACCTTGAGTTTTCTCGGAAAGAACAGAACAGAAACATTTCCTTCTTCACATGTGTAAAGCTGGTAAAAACTTGAAATTGTAACTGCAGTGAAAGGTGATTTCACAATCTCTTTGTAAGAAAATATTTAATCATGTATCATTTAATTTCCACTTCAAATCATGCATTAGTTAGTTGAGCAAATAAAATCCCGATAAAGTACATTGAAGTGTGTGGTTGTGATGCAAAAAAATTATTTATGTTCAAGCGTTACAAGTAATTTTAGAATGCCGTGTATTTAGAAACAGAGGAGAGAAATTTGTATTCAAAAACAAACTGTTTTTCTTGATATATTCAATATTTAACGTTCAACATTGCATTAACTGCGTGAATTACATCAGCACTAATTGCTTGGAACAGAATTATTGTTTATACATACGTGGTGCTGCCGGCCTGGAGGGAATGGATGCTGCTGATGCACTTAGCAGCGGGTCTGATGTTGAATCCAAGAAGCCTGCAGTGGGCTGCTTCCTCTCTACATAGCTCTGCCCGTCCTCCAGCAAGCCTGATTCGACCCCCTGCTGTCTACTCTGCTTGCTTTTGTCCAGTAGGTCCTTACCAAAGAAAGCCTCCTGAGAAAGACAACAAACAGGACCAGTCAATGCCATGCCGGCGACAGTAAACACTGTAAGAGGCAATTATTTAAAAAGATGAGACTGACAGTACAAAACAGAAAAAAAAATTAACAAATGTGGCACAATAGAATCAAAACTAAGGTAAAACTAAAAAGATCAGCACCATTTTTTTTTCCTGGTCAGTATAGGGAGAAAGTAACAAACATTGTTCTGCTGTACTGGAATACACAACGACGGCCCTTGACAACTGAATTGAAACTAGACACAGGATGCTTTTTGGCAAGCAGGTCAAGTAGAAAATATGTTTGGATCACAAAAATGACATTTTTGAAAAGGAAGCAAAATCATAAAACATCATTATTCAACTTGTCACTGAAGATTCAAATAAAGTATTTTATGAATCAAATACTCCAAGTGTTTACAGAATTTCAGAGTTAAAGGGAAAAGATTCACCCTAAAACCTATACGTATATCTGCCTCAACCATTTGTGCTAGTGGGCTAAACTTGGATCATTTTTGAATTGTGGTCAAAGGCTGCACATGACATATCTACCCCCAGGCTGCACTTTGGAGAGCCCTCCTCCAAACTCTCAGTCACATGGTTCTGACCCCTCAGGATCGACCTCCACTAATCAGCTACATCCCAGATATCCTCAACAACATGGAACAGTGCTCACTGCTGCACTGAGACGGTAAAGCTCGACGTGTTATCTCAATAATTAATGGAATCTGCTTCACTGTGTAAGACTTTTAGGTTTTCTCCTTAATGTGGTGGGATAAAGAGTGGCAGTGACAGCCACCACTGGCTTAATGCACATCACCTCTCGAGGTTTTGGGCAACACAAAGTGACACTAAGATGCTGGCTGGGGAAAAGCAGCCATCTACAGTTATGCCTTTGTATGTCAATTCACAAGAAAGAAAGGAACCATTAAAAAAGTTATGATAGTTGACAAGCATACTCTATACTCAGAGATACTTTATGATGTTCCATCTTTTCCAAAAAGCCCACAGAGGGGGTTGGGGTGCATACTGCATACTGGTTGCAACTTGCATACTGGCGTTCTTTCAATCCTGCCTTTCCAAGGGGTGAAAGAACGATTTTCAGAAAGACATAGCTCAAAAAAGACTGACTTTTTTTTCCTTAAAACTGTACATTTGAAAAAGAAAACAGACGTTATATTAACTAACATTGAAATACAGATTTAATATTATTCACATAGTAAAACTCATAATATGTAATGTGTTGCTTGTTTTAGCAACACATTCCAAATTACATGCATATTGAACTACAACTGAAAATCATTTCCATTAAAAAACAGATTAATGATATGAAATCCAACTCTGGCTACAAGGAGGCATAAACAAGAGAGAGAGATATTCACACAATGAGAATCCTGAGTTAAGAAAAACTACTGTTTTAATGTATCCCCCCAAAAAAATAAACGAATGAAATACTTTATTTTAGTGAGGAACACAAAAGCAACATTTTCTCTGCCACGATAATTATGCATGGATTATTACAGATATAATAATACTAATATAAATAATAATAATCTATATTTCTCTGTAGTTCTGATACAGAAATACTGCATAGAAATTCCAACATCATTCCACACTCAATTAACTTATTTTCCATAATATCTGAAAAGTGGGCCAGTGAATATTCAAACTTGTCTAGACTTTTTGAGACTGTGTAGGAACTTTGTACATGAACACCGGCTAAATTTAGCAGGTTCAAAAGGCCTTTGTGCAGAATGTGATACGTTGTTCAACATTAATCTGCTACTGTTGGACAAAAACCTGGACAGAATAGATACAAAAGACAGGACATGAAATCCATGACAGGCAACATAAGTTAAGAAAGTAGCTAATGGGACCAAAGTAAACCTTTTTTTGCACTGTACGATATTCCACAACTATGACACATACTTGTAACAGATTATGGAAAGAGTTCATTTAAAAGAATTAGACTAACAACTACAATGACTTGCAATGCTCAAATTAAGCATTTCAAAAACTAAAATGATCAACTCAAATTCGATTTTTGTCAAAAACAGGGTGAATCTAATTTAAAACTGTGCAGTCAAAATGAATATTGGTCAGGAATATAAACTAACAGCTTCTTAATTAGTCAGACGTTCTACAGTTTGCTGTTTAACAGACATGCCTGCAGATTAGAAACAGTGCTGGTTGCTGCATCTTGACATTCCAAGCCAGCCTTCTACATGCTATGAATCGTAAATATTGTAACAGTCAAACGTATATTTACTGTGAGCAGGGAAATGCCTGAGAAGTCAGCTGACCAGCAGTGCACAATGACATAGAATGAGAACATGTGGCTCTACCGTCCACCTTGTGCAACTGGAGAACATAAATATTTTATATATTTGAAAGATTAATATATACATATATAATACACAGACGACTCATAGTTATAACCATTTTTTTTTTAAATAAACCATTACTGTACATACTCCAGATTACAGACCTGCAGATAGGCTGGAAAAGCTTCTTCCAGCTTGGTCTTCTTCTTCCTGTAGCGTTTCTTTATCTTTTCTGGGACCTCTTGTCCAGAGGGCGTCTCATCCAAAGGAGTATCTGGCTGGGCTTCTGTCCAACCTGAAAACAAAACATTATTTCAGAAATTTCTGAATTAAATTTGTTCATTGAAACACATTTAAATTATATGCATAGTTTTGGTGCACTAACCTTCATCTTTACTGATGGGGTTTTCTGACACAGAGCCAGACGAATCTTTTCTGCAGAGGGATCGCTTTGCTTTGCTTGGACCTTGGCCTGGTCGGCTTCTTTGACGGACCATGAACCCCCCAATGCCTGATAACAAGCAAAAACAGATTTACTTGCAAACTTACATTTAAGTGCAATTTACCATTTCAAAACTGAGGCTGAACAGTTTAAAGCCTAGCCTTTCTCTATCTCTGTTAAGTGGCAAAATAATGCAGGCTTGAAAACACCAGACAGAGCCCTCTGTGCATCTGAGGCCGTGAGATGGCAGCACATCTCTGCAGCTACAACGCTGGGCATGTACTGCACCATTTTATGCTTCAGGAGAGCTGTCTCCTTGGATCAGGTGCCCTACCCGGTCGGTACGGTTTCCTCTTCCTCTTCTTGACGCCGTCGGCCCCTTTGGAGTCATCTTCCGCTGGCTCTCGCTCCAGGCTTGAGTCAGACTTTGTCTCGCAATCAAGGAGCTCCGCCTCTGTAAGACGTAGAGAAGAGATGATTAGTGACAGCCCAGCAGCTGAGAACACCCCAGTTAGGCCCCTCAAAACAGTAACAGGGTCAGTTTCATCTAAACCCCACTCTATAGCAAGAAATTCATCTGATTAAATTTCAATTGCATGAGTACCAAGACTGAATATCTTTCTATCAAATGTACACTGATGAAAATAGACGAAAGACTACTATAGTAAAAACGTGAAATTTAAATTAGTTATATTGAGCACATGCTAACATATCAGCTGCTTTTTTTAAAGTGATTATTTCACACAATGATTATTGCTAGCTGAACATTTGTCAAGCAGATAGTTACCAACACCGAAACGTTATTACTAAAAAAGCTGGTTGTTCAGTGTTCTGTAGGAACATATTAATGGAAAGTTAAGTGGAAGGAAAAACTGGGGCAAACAGTTGCACAAGCAACTGATTTTGCAACATGAGGACTGGGAAGCAAAACTAAAAGTTTCTGAGAAATTCATAAGGTTTTTCAACTGTGGGTGAAATCAGAACCTTAACAACAGATAGAGCACAATGGTCAAGTTCCTTTTGTTAAGCCACTCATGTAGCAGAGAAAACATGGACAGAGCTCCAATGTCCTCCTCCCGAGTGAAAGTAAATTTTACCTTCATTTGAAAACAAAGTGAAATTAGAGAGCTATGAAATCCAAGTTTCTATCGATGTATAAATATATGATGTTTCAACAGGCAGTGATGATTTCAGCACCACTGTGCTTTGCCTAATCCAAAGACAGTGTAGCTATTCACCATGGAGCACTTTGTGTTTCCCACAACTTTGTGGAAACCGATTTTATTTTTCAGAAGGACTCAGCACCTGCCTCTGTTGTCTGTAACAAATACTTGCTTCAATGACCACAGTATCATTATGTTTGATTGGCCAGAAACTCATAAGACTTGAGTCTTAGAGAGAAACTGAGGACTCCCGTCACGAGAAAGTTATGAGTCACCAGAACCAATAAGCAGAATAAACTGAAAGTTGCTATTAAAGGTATCTGGGCCTCCATAACAGCATGGCAGTGCATCAGTGTGTTTCCATGTCACAACACACTGATGCAATACATAGACACACTGGCCATCAGGCCAATATTTCTGTATTAAAAATCTGTTTTCTATAATGTTCTATTTTTGCTAGACACTGAGTCATGGGTCTTCTTTATTTGAATAAACAGAAATAAATACTTGAAATGTATGCCTCTCAATGGAAGAAACCTATCTAATCTTAAAATTAAATTCTTTATTGAATCACAAAAATATATACATTTTCAAGGATATTTAGTTTCCTAAAATGGGTTGATAGAATAGGATTACATGCAGGTTGGATGAGATCATAGATACCTCTGTGGTCCTCCATGTCTTCGTCTCGAGACAGTTCTGAAAGAGGGTCCACGGGGGCCTGAAGTACTGCCACGCTGTTCTGGTTAATAATCTTCAGCTTTAGCTTTGGTTTAGGTTTCCGTCGTCGTGATGCAGCAGCAGACAAGCTCTGGAGCTGACAAAGCCCTGACTCTGTCAAACAAACACCATCCTGGGTGTAGGTCCGAGACAGATCTGAACAGAAAAAAAGCAAAACAGGTTATATACTTCAAAAATAAATATCCATCTCCTTTGGATTGCTTTAAACTTACCAAAATCTTTAGCTTTGGAAAATGTTTGTGTCGCAAGTAGTGGCTCAGTGATCTCTCTTGTCTTTGTTATAACTGCAGTAGAACCAAAAGCACCAAAGCAGTTCAGTAATTTAACAAAACAATTATTAAATACGTGGCAATAAAAACACAACACATTTCACAAAAAGAAAACATTGTGCTGAATCACTACGCTCCCACCTTTTGTGGTCTTAAATGTTCGGCACATCGTGCAGTCGAAGCTGCTCTCTGCCGCCTTTTCTACATCGTCTTCTGAATGAAGATTTTGACAAGAAGCATGAAACCATCTGCAGAGAAGAGAAGTTCAGATAGTTTCCAGAGAGTTAGTAAGGGTTCTGCAGTCCTTCCATGACAGTTCTGCAGGAACAACACAGACCTGTCACACTGGCGGCACTGAACAATGATGGTGCCCTCACTGTAGTCCATCAGGCAGACCGGGCATGATGTAAGACTGGCACAGGGAGCACACTGTGTGTAATTATTTTGCCAGTCACACCTCAGTCCTGGAGTGGTTGCACCACACTGAGTGCAGGACACACACCTGCAGGAGATGGGAGAAAAACAATGGTTCTTTAGTCCAAATTATTTCCAAAAGGATAGAGATATCAACAAAAAAACAACATGAGGCCACATATGTTCAATGAAACAATTATTTTGTTTAATTACTCAGTTATTTAGCCTTAAAGAAAAAAGTTGGGAAAGAGTGAAGTTAAGTAAACCGGAATGTGACTCTGCGAGGCACCAGTTCAATTCTAATTTAAAAGATTTACTGCTTGAAGCCCATTCGAGCACAATGATCAAAGAGTTACTCACCACTTGCACTTCCAGCTGTCCTTAGGAACATTCTGCAGAGGAGGGTCCAGACAGTATGTGTGATAGCTGATGTCGCAGTCGTCACACAGCAACAAGCGGCCAGGATCTGTGGCTTGCCCACAAGCCTCGCACACCGTACACTCAAGACATCGCCAGCCTTTACTGAGCACCACCTTGGTGATCTGTAAACAGTAAAGCAGAAACAGACATGGGAAATGTAGTTTCTGCCTAGCGAGCTGTCTTTTAAGATCTTTATCCTGTAGAAAATAGAAATTCTCAAATAATTTTTGACAACTAGTTTGACAGTGAGCAGTTGTATAGTGTGACTGTGAGGAAGAAGGGATAGAGAACAAAATGAAGAAAAGTAAGATTAAGAAGAGAAAGAAAGAAAAGTTTTTACATGAGCAAAAGAAATGAAAAACAAATTTAAAAGGAAAGTCACAATGAGAGAAAGATAGAAACATGAGGGGAAGAAAGGGATGGAAGTCCAAATCAATCAGAGATAGAACTCAAGTATGGAAGGACAAAAACAAGGAAGGAAAGACATTGAAGGAAAGTAGTCAAGACATGGGGGAGTGAGGAAGTACACAGAAGGGAAACGAGGCAAAAAGAAAGGTAAGGCAAAACGACAAGAAGGAGAGAGTAACAAGGAAGTAGATAAAAAAGGGCAAAGAACTATACCTTTATACCGACACAGAAGGGATGGTAGCACTGGCCACACTGTACACAGGCCAACAGACGTCCCTCTGCACCGAGACCAAAACTCCCACAAACCACGCACATGTCCTTAAAGGGAAGACAGATGTGAATAAACTGATTTTAGTGCAATGGGCGAGCTGTGCCAGTAAAATTCAGAGGTTAAAGTAAAACAAGGCTTGATTATTTCTATTTTTTGCTGTTAGGGAAAAAAAAAAAACAACAACTCCGGCAGACAAACTTTTAAGCAAACATTTTATTATGAGGCCATTTGGCGTGAACACTCAAATTCATGGTCAGGAATTTCAAATTAAGATCAGAATGAGCACAAAACACATGGGCACACATACAAACCTGTTTTAGCGTGAAACTGTCATTGCTGGAGAAAATTACGACAGTGTTGTGCATCGCATTTTCCTCCTCTTCTTTGAGTGGGTATTGTGTTTCTATTGCAGTGATCTGCAAATAATAAGAAAAAAAATCGACAAAAAATTAACATATAAATGGGAGAGCACAGGCTTTAAAAATATTTTATCGTCAAATGAAACTATGTAATTTTTCTTTGCTATAGAACTGAAAATGCTCAACCTTTGACATGAACTTCATCACTGCTTATAAAATAGCTATTGTTTGCTAAACTAAGCACTTAATCTCGTAAAGATCATACCCCAGGGTTGATGCTGGGACTCACTCCGTTTTTCCCTCTGGCTCTGCCCCGTCCAGCTCTGCCCGACAGCCCTGCTCCTCTTGGCCTCCTCCTACCAGGAAAGCCTGATCCTCGGCCCTGCAGATGAACAAAAAAAAAAAAAAAAAACAAAAAAAACAAAACAAAACAAAAAAAAATTAAAATAAAAATAATAAAATGGCCAATTCAGTCGAACCATGCAATCATAATTCATCGTCATACAAACTCAAAACGACAGGCCCAAGCTCGGTCTGATTGCAAAGTTTGCTTTTTTTCTGAAACACCTCTTTGGTTGCTGAATGCCCGATTCGTTGAGCTAAAGGTGCAACTATTAACCGAGTTGCTTCTTTTGCAGATGATTTGGTAAAAATATATAATTTCTTAGGTCAATAGCTTAATAGTTCATTTAAGAGACTATGCATTGTAACAACTGAGGTTTGTCAAAATAGGGACAGCATTATAAATTCCCTATAAATGGGAGAAAGGAGCGACTGGACACTTCTTCAACATATATTTGCACTAAATGCTAAAATTAACACATTTCACAGATTGTCTGAGACAGTAATGGTTCACGAGTGATGTGAATGTCATGGTGAGGGGATAAATACAAAATTTATTTATGATGGGTGACACATTTAAATCAATATTAAACACTGATATTACATTTTGTATGGTTCCAAGAAAGCCAACCCAATTTTAACTTGACACCATTCTGTGCTTCTGCATTCAATAAAAACGAAGGCAGCAACTGTTCCTCAAATTAGAACTGCAAAATATTGACTGGATCTTCACAATATATCAAAGCCATTGTTCCTACATAGTATGTTGCATGTAAACAATATTGTGGAGGAAAAAGAAATGTTTCTGTCCTCAGCCCTTCATGGCCATTTATTACAATAAACTACTAAAATTTATGAGTCTGTGGAGGTCTTTCTACAGTAGCTGGTCATCATATATGAAAGTTAAAAAAAGAAAAAAAAGGGGGAAAATAAAAGGTGGAAGAATGGAAAGAAGGGAGGAAGAAGGAAGCTAAGCAAACTCAGTTAAGTTAGGCTAATAAGCCTATTCTGGCCAATTAACCAGAAAAAAATACCTGGTAGTGTTATTCTATAAGGTAACATAGCAGAGCACATAATAATATGTACATTTGTTTCCAGATGTTCTACTAAATTTAGCAAGAGTTAATCCTATAATTTGCGCTATTCTTCTAACACTCTGTACTTTCTCTTAGGAAAAAAGGCAAATCTCATATAAGTGCATGAAACTTCTAATGCACGTTTTAATCACAGTGAACGTTCACACATGCAATCTAAAATAAATGCTACATCCATTATTATAACCATGTATCCGTTTTGTCTAAATAAATCAGAACATGTTTATCAGTAAATTAATTTTTACATTTAATTTTAGCATCAATACTGTCGTTTCATGATATTGACATAATCTCATACACACCATATATAATGACATAATGGCCTCTAAAGCGCAATTTCAAATAAAATCTGGGGTCCTCTGCCAGAAACTGAAAATGGTCTTTCAGCAGGATAATGAGCCAAAAAAGCAGAAATATTTTGTCCGACATAAAAATCAATGTTCTTCTATTGTCATCTCAGTCCTCAGATTGAACTGCTGGTTTTCTGTAGGAGTTAGGTCTGACAAAAAAAAAAAAAAAACTGAGAAGGCCACCATTGAAAGGTGATTTCTTTTTCCAGTTTGTGGTTTTAAACTCTTACAAACAACAAGCACAATTCTTGCAAACAACAATCTGAATGAATTGTTTGACATTAACAGTCATTCGTATTCAGTGGTAAAATAGACCAACACTCTTATTGCATCTAGGGCTCCCACTGACGACTCAACATCCCTTTTCCCTGACATGATCACAGAAGGGGAGGCTGTTGCAACAAGTCAAGCCTGCATAACTTAACAGGTAGACAAACCTCAAAAGCAAACTCTCTGCATATTCTTCCCAAAATTACCAGAAAGCAAACTGTACATAGATTTCCACCACTAAACTGTACATTGAACACATTACGGCAGTAAAAAGCAATAATGTGTTTTAATGCGTACCAAATTTAAGGTACAAGGAAGCTCAATATATATCCTTCAACAATATGCAGAATCTACAAATGAATAAAAATTTAAATCATTGTTAACACAACATTTTTCTAACATTTAGCAAAAGTCACTACACAATACACCATGAATTAATGCGTATGTAATGCTGATAATCTTTTTTGTTGTTGTTAAATCTCGGTTGTGTGAAGTCACTTTGTATGTTACAAAGTGACTTCATAATACAGAGCAATTAAGAAAGTGAAGGCAGGTTCTTCCTGAACAGGTTTCACAATGCCTTTGGCAGTTTTCCCACACAGGTTCAAAAGTTTGACATGACTGTCAACTTCCATCTGCTTGAATCTCCTAAAAACCTTTCCTAAAAACCATTTTGGCCATATGGTTCAAATGTTCTTTTTGACAACCTAACTTCATTTAACCTTCTCACAAAGGCTTTTGAAAAAGGTTAAAAAGGAGACTGTCTAAAATCCACCAAAATGTTGCCCCACTCCTATAGTTAAACATTTTAATTAAAACAAGTCCCAAAGGTTTTCTCAAGTTGTATGAAACACTAGCAACACAGCACTGCCCTGTCCCACCTGTTACTGCACATTGCCAGGCAGCTGTGCTGAATGAAGACTCCAACAGAGTTAGCAACTTCAAGAAAAATGTCAACATGGCTCTTTGGAAAAAAAAACTGTTATAGATAATATATAAATGATTAAACCACACTTGGCAACTTATGAGCAGAGCATGCTTGCTAAGCAGCCAGCAGCAGACTGGTTACTTAAGTAGATAGCCCAAACAGAAACTAATACATACTTGCTATATTTGTGCTAAACTATAAAGTCTACAACAGTTCACAGAAAAAAAAAATTCTGTGAATCAGCACTTGAAATATAAAATAATTTTGAATTGATATGCGGAAGTTATTTTTGCTCCTGCCTATGTATCAACATGACAAATAATGTTATGGTGATCATTATAACCGTAACAATGACTTTTCTGTTTTTGTCAGTAGTGTGACAGAACGGTTATTTTTTTCTGCTCAATGCTGAGTAGAGATACGTAATGACTACATTACTCTTTACACTTGTTTAAAAAATAACTACAGAAAACACAACACTGTACAAAGGCAGTCTGAATTCAGTGCTGAAGTGTTTATATAATACTTTGTGAAAAACCTAATACTCTTGTTCACTGAATTCAACTCCAATATGACAATTATTCTAAATCTTCTTCCCCACATTTTTAGTAAACAACATTTCTTATGCCTCTTCTTACTCCAAAGTGTACCTCATTATTTATTGTTGGCTGCATTACAGACCAGTGAAGCTCAGGAATACTCAGAGAGCGAGCATCACAATAAAAATGGTCAGAGAGGGCAGCTGCTGCCCTGCCATCTCTGGTGAGCCACTGTATTTACCACTCTGATGCTCCAACCGGGGCTGCCATAAGACTGCCTGGTCCTTGGGTCCCAACCCTCTGTCTGGTCTGGTGACCAGGAAAAGGGTGAGCACACACTGCTATGGGGGCTCCATGCACCCTAAGGTAAGAAGGGATGGGTAAAAAGGTGAGAGAGAGTGAGAGAGAGAGGAGGGAGGGAGGAGGGCGACAAAATGCAGCAACTTAAAAACAAAGCCGGCAAAGAAACCAAAACATACAAAGAAGGATGTTAAAGAAATGTGGTGAGATTCTCATGTAGTAACTTTAGATTAAGTCAATCTTAAAAGCCAGAACATCTACAAGTTATTAAGTGACATGATGAGTTAAAGCTAATCCTCATTTTCCATGCGCCTCGTTTAAAGAGCGAAACTTGAACAAGCAAATGTGTTAGTTGCAGTTTGCATAGAAGAATTTACTAGCATTAGTGTGGCATTATCAAGTAGAAAAGAGTGTGAAAAGGACCTGTTACATCTCTTTATGGCAATCACATGTTTGGCATGCTGACAAACAAGCAGCTGCATTCGCACAGCAAAACATCAGTGCATTAGCCATGCTTGACTAAAGAAACTGATTTATGCTTTTTAGAAAAGATTTTCCCATACTGGGTGTAGTAAATTAATTTGAGCCCTGTAATGCTTATTTAAGAGTTAAGATATGCTACCTTTAGAAAAAAAAACTTTATTCAAATGAACCAGCTCTCTTGCACTCACATTATTTATAACATATAAGCAGCCAATAGCACAATTCACTTCCAAATATTTTTTGAGAAAGTTCTACGTTCTGTATGAGGCAGATTTAGGACTCCGATATCAGAAAAATCTGAGTATTTGGTGTTTAATCTCCCTCAGCAACTCATAATATATTATGTAAATAATAAAAGTAATTACTACTGCTGTTTCTGACTTAATAGATGTTCATCTTAAGTCAGGATGAACATCAATGACACAATGCATGTTTGTGACATGATCATGAGATGAAAAGAAAGACAGATGATGATGTTTGAGGTGGATACCAGTAGGGAATGTTAGCAAAATATCTTCAATCCACTAAGAGTCGCCATCTCCTTTGGGGATTTACACACACACAAAAACTGCCCATCTCGCATAGTTTTGAACGCACAAACGCACAAAGGGAGAAGAAGAATAGTAGGGCACTGTAAGAGGTAAAATAATGTTATAGAAACAAACAAACAAGTTCTTATCCCAAGCCTGAAGCTACTTCAATCACACAGAAACAAGTGACAGAAAAACTCTGATCGTTTCAAAGTGCACGATCCACAGGTAACACTCAAAGAGGTAGTGAACAAGGTGCAGATACCTTTTTAAAATTGCTTTGAATTTTTATCTGAATTGCAACAGGGAATCAGGTAGAGTGATTAGTAGTAATCTCAACAATTAGCAGTTTGGCGTCATACCTGTTTGACCCGAGGCCTCCCAGGAGAAAACTTCCTCTTTGTGATGGCTGGTTTTCCCATGCCAATCTTCGGCGTGAACGGTATGAGGTTTGTTGTTGGTATTATACTGCTGTGGTCACTCAGCGTGGGTAGGATCTGGGTCTGTGGCGGGTCTCTGAGAGGCATCCCTCTGGCTAGAGGAGAAGAGTGTGAGGGAGAGGAGACCATTTCGGCCAGTCTCTCCACAGCTGTTTTGACGGGTTTCTCCTCTAACGACAAACCGGGAAATAACACATTGGGCTTGTTGTCCAGTGGAGAGTTCATCTCCTCTGATCTATTAGAAGTTGAAGGCTTAACAGTCTCTGCCAAGTTCATGTGAAATACACCCTCATTCTTCTCTTTGTTAGGTTGTTTAGGAGCAGTTTCCAAGAAAGAAGCCTTCATTACATCCATACTTGAAGTTTGGTGTAGTGTGACTTCCATTGGCTGTTCCATGAAAGTTACTGATGTAGTACTTGGTTCTTTGGTGGTTGAGATGATGGCCTTAAGATCCTTTGTGCTGGGGTTGACCGTGCCCTGCTCAGGGCAGGCCTCTGTATTTGCTGGCTTGATTAGCAATGTGATATCCTGCATCTGTAGCGCCTCTATGGGCTGCTGGACAAGAAAGGGTTCCTGGCTCAGAGATGACAAAGACGCAGAACTTTCTGTGGACGTGACCTGGGGTCTAGCTGCTGGTTTTGTTTCTGCAGAAGAGTAATCAGAAGATGGTGTTAAGAACATAAATGTATTCAACATAGTATTTACAAATGAAAGAAAATTGAGGGACATGGAAACCAACAACACCTTCAGTTGTAAAATCAGTTATGCTTGCAATAAATTAAATCAAAATGTACAAACCTGGGTTGAATTCTGCTGTAATTTTGTTGACAGAAGGTTCAGTACCGTGCATCTCAATAGCATCTGCTCCTCCTTGGGCTTCTAAAGAGAGAAACAGGAACACACTTATTAGTTTACAAAAATACTTCAGCGACAGGATAATTGTAGAAAATCACCAACAAGGAAGCTAACGAAAGAAATTGTTTTAAGTTTTCACTGCCTTAACAAACCCTGATGAATGATCCGCAGGCCAAACACTAAAAATCAAATTATTTTCCAATGAGTGAATGCACCACATGGTATCATGGTACCAAATTGTTCTGGTAACAGGACTCTTTCATGTAGAAGCTGTGTTAAAGATAACTAAAAAAAAACTTATAAAACAATAATTCTTACTATTTTTTTCATCTTTGTCCTGAAATATTAGTGAAATCCTGCGCAACACTGACAGCTCTTAGACAGTGTAAAATGACTGTGATCTCAACGCAAGTAATTAATCACGGAATTCTTAATTTATCCTTACTGTAGAAAATAACACTATTATTCTCTGTAGTTCTTCAAGAGAAATCAAAATCGATTAAGATTTATTTTAGTGCATCAGAGCTTTACAAAAACAGCAATCAGAAATCTAGCACAAGATCTCTGATCAGTGTAGGTCTCATTGTTATTGACAAAGAGATGGATAACACCCACAATAACCAATAGAAAAGTTTTAAAAAAAAACCCAAAAAGATAGAAATTACCTCAAACTGAAGCAATGTTGTCCCCCAGTAGACATTTTGCTAATAGGGGACAACTGGTCAGGATGCACTTGAAGTCATTGTTTTGCTTTTTAACAAACTGGTGACTACTATGCCCTTACTCTAGGTTGTTTTTTTATATATATATTTCATGTCTGTTTTGTTTAAAAGCGATCAATTCATTTAACTTGTGCTGTATGAATAGAACCAGTCATCCCTGGCTATCAGGGATCCACACATCGAGCCAATATTCTGCCAGACAGCATCTGACAGTACAGACAGCCTAGTCTTAAGGAGGCACCCACTATTTCAATCCACAAGTTCCCATGTCACACTGATCCTGACACACGCATGCACCTGCTACGCATCAATGCCAGGGAAGGGAGTAACCATGACAACCAACATCCCAGGGTCTGTGTGCTCTGGGCTCATGACTGTGCAGCTTGCAGGTGCTCATCCGGTGCTCATGCCGGAAAGTAAATTAGGAAGATGGGCCCAGAACCATCTCTTGCCATCAGCTATTGACCAAGCTGAACACACATTCATTGTAATGAACTCTTTCCAATGATTTTTAGTCACTGAATTAGCAAACTGAACAGTTTAGATTATTACATAACTAAAACTCTGCAAAAAAAAAAAAAAAAAAAAAAAACTCCTAAAGTCAGGACTAACTTGCACATGTAGGGCAGATTTAATAGCATCTATTAAACATCGATTAACCTGGAGCGGTGCTAAAACTGGCAGTCAAACAGCTCAAATAAAGAATTTTATTAAAGTACCCATTTGGGTGTATGCCAAATGAGTTATAATTGCAGCTGTTATCTTGTTTAATGTCATGTTAAATTCCATCTATGGCGATACAACTGAGGTTTGCAAGAGCGAGAATCAGATTTTTACATTGTGAGAAATACCAGTAGTATCTCTATAGCAGTCAAAATTACACTGCCAGTTGATTACATCTGATACAAACAATATTTAAATTAGTCTAAAGCAGTGATTCAGTTACTTAAATCTTACTGCACAGATAAAGAGAACATAGTTATTTAAACGGTTATACCCTTTTCTCTTATCCGTCAGTAAGAACACCAGATATCTGTTTCTAGAGAGCATAAAGTATAGAAATATTGGCAAAACAGTAAAGATAAAATAACACATCAAAATGTACCATTTATACTCTGAGATGTCATCGCTACAGTCTGATGAGTCTAGTGTGTTATTTAGCAGATTAATATAAAATAAAATTTGCAGACTATTACAAGAACGTGTGGCCTGAAGTACAAGTATGCAATACAGCAAATGACGACAGTCATCACAACATCACGGATTTCAGTACAGTAATAGCAAAAGAATGTTTTGTTGTAGGCTGTTATGTTTTAGATGTTGTCATGCAACTTTTCATATTTGCTAATTGTCAGGAGATTACATACAGTAACACGGCCATGCTTTTAGACAATTTGAGAAAGCCTCGCTGACATTATGAATTTATGACTTTATTCTAAGACTAATTCAAAACCTCAAGTTATTTGGAGGCACACTTTAATGTGTTTTAAAGCAACACCTCAAATACACCACTTTCTTGTGTGACATCACGGAAAAGTTAACAGCAACCAGCCGGGATTAGGTAGAGAATTGTGTGCCTCCACAACTCCAGTTCATCCTTGGATACAAATATCCAGATACTTGAAGTTGCCATGATTATCTGTCCCAGCAATTATTCAAGAATAAACACAATGATCCGCCATCTTAAAGTTTGAGAAGCCATGTTCCGAGTCCCAGAGACTCTTTGAATCCCCAGAACACAAAAACAAAAGATGTTGGCTGTAGCTGACAACAGTCATTATTAATCCTGAACCTATATGGAAGATCACACAGAAAGAAGCAAGCTATTATGGCATACTGAACATAAAAAACTTGATTATGTTTATGAATTTACTGAGGCACAAAAACATAAACTTTTGGAAACAAGTCTTGTGAAGTATTTGGCCAAACAAAAGAAAAATGGTGAAGCTTGAAATTCTGAGAATGACATTCTGATTGTGAAGGACAGGAGCTGTAGCATCATGTTGTATGTGTGTTTTTCATAAGTGTGTGGAAACATTACAACAACATTTCAAGGCATCAGTTAGGAAGTTAAAGCTTTGCATAAATGCTTCTTCTAAACAGACAATGACCCCAAACCCCACTAAATTCATTAGAAAATGGCTTAGAAACAACAAAGTTAAAGATTTGGAGCCCTGAATTCAATCCCATAGAAAATTTTGGGGAAGAGTTTAAAAGGTGTGTGTGTAAACAAGGTAGCATGCAAACCCAACTCAGTGGCACCATTTCTGTGAGGAGGAATGGGCCAAATTTACAGCAAACCAAGAAGCTTGAGGATTGAGATAGTTGAGTTTATCATACTCACAAGTATGATAAACACTTGCAAAATAAACCCTCCTTAATTAAGATGGCCCAAACAGGCGTAACATATCTCAAAAAAGGAAAAGTGGGGAAAGCTGTGCTTTTCGAGCCAAATCTAATAAGGGGATTGTAAATGACCAGAAGTAGAAAAAGAGTGAGCATCTGTGCCGAGTGTGCAAAACAAGCAGACAGACTGTGTGAGTAGTAATGAATGAGCCAGCATTGCTTCAAGGCAGGTTAGCAGACAGGGGATCCGTGATATAATCATAATACTCTCATCCATTCTCTACAGTCAGTTGAGTGGGCTGCCTCAACAAGAGTGGGCAGGATAGTGGGCTACCACTGGCATTCCTAATCTATCTTGCTGTACATATCTGGGGAGGAATTTTGCACTTTAATCCTGGCTGACCTCACTTAGGCCAGATCGCAGTGCAATGTACTGTCAAACCATACGTGTTGGTCTTAGTTTTGGAATGAGTGCAACTCTGAAATGACTCTTGGTGCAAATAAGATTATGGGCATGTGGGTTTCTAAAATTGCACATCCAATTGCAAGACAATAAAAAAAGTTTAAATCTTGACTGTCTGGTCAGTTTCCAAAAATTAGAAGCTCGGTTTATCAAATGTCATTATTATGTCATTAGTACAGGGAGACTTCACCTCAATGAAAAACTACTTAGTGGTTTAACTGAAATATACAATTTTGACATTTATTACCTAAACATCTTTCTTGAATTAATACAGAATACAAATTGTTCATTCTTGCTCAAAGGCAATCCATCCCAACATACCTATACATTGTACTATTCTAACAAGTTAGGATAGACATACAGGCTATACAAAACATTACGTTTTTTCACAAAATCAATCTCACAAAATGAGATTTCACTCAGTCTGACCTCTGTTTATAATGAGCTATTTAAGGGGCTCCTGTCTCTTATATAAATAAGTTACTGTTAGCCACACAGCAGTAGTGGAGGCGTAAACTCTGTTTACACTCACACTTTAGACACATGAAAATAGCCGCAGACAGATGTACAATTGCACAGCTGTACATCTTAGCCCCTGAGTCAGATCCAGAATGAGAGGGGGCTCCCGCACAACTGTCAAGGACTTAACAAGTCAACAACAAAACATTTGCTTTTTCAGCAGCCATTGTACAGCGTATGCAGCGGTAAAACTAGCTGACTAACTCTGCCTGTGTTCATAGGAAACAGAAAAGAGCCCACTGACCGACATGAGTATTGGGAAGACTCATGTCAGTTTTTGGTGTCTGTTCCTAGACACCAAAAACATTACTTTATTGCCAGAAATGGCTAGCACTTGGATTGTTTCTAGAAGAGGTAGAGACCATAAATGAATAAAAAATTCAATTGTACGTAATAGGTCCTTTTAAAGTAATTTAAAATCAGAGAATCATGAAAAACAACACTGTTTTAATCTATTAGTGGGACACCATATGGTAGTGGGCCAACACTCAGATGTTTCCTTGATAATAAGGAAGTGTTTCTTTCTGTGCTGCTGCAGTATACACAACTCTCCTTTCAATTCCTTCACCTTCATGAGTAGTAAATTTCACACAACTTCATTAAGACTGTTATTAAAGTACAGGCTGGTATGGCAAGCAATTTCTCTGAACGGTTTCTCTGTGGCCAGCTGTTCTTTGAATGAATTCTCAACCACAAACCCTGGGTTTCATTTTCAATTACACAAGCTGAAGCTTGGTGTATGATGGAGCCATTGTTCAACATATTCAAAAACGCAAAAATTTTTTGGGCTTATCTTATACGAATGCAAGATTATTTGATCAACAAAGAGAAAGGGAGAAAAAGATAGAGAGGATCAGAGGCTAAAGTATGTATAATCTTTTGAACAAAGACCCACCTGGCTTTTGGTCTGGCATGGGCGACTTCTCCTCCTGGACGGTGGTTTGAGCAGGCTCTGGATCAGAGTGCAATGGAACAGCAAGTAATTCCGGTTTGGGATCATTGTGCATTTCAGGGGACAGCTGAACGCCAGGTTCAAGGTCTTTGTGCTTTTGAGCCGGCGGTAGTCCAGTCTCAGAGTCTATGTGCATGGGGGCTGGTTGAGGACTGAGCTCTGGGCCAATGTCCATGTCCTCAGCCTCCAGCGCCCGCTCTGCAGCAGGAGACCTGCAGTTGGAGCAAACATAGTCCTCCTTGGGGTGGATTTCTCCACGGCCTGAGTTCTGACGCTCACATTCCAGGTGTAGCCGTCTGACAGGAGTGCAAAGGGTTGTTCAACAAATTTTTCTGTAACACAAATAGTAAGCAAAAGGCTTTTTTTTCCTTACCTTTTACAAGTCTGGCAGAGTAGTAAGTCTTTGTGATGCTCAGGGTCCAGGATGCAGGAGCACATTGGACAGCACAGAGCAGGGTCCTGGTTTTGGACACAGTTCTCACATAACAGACTGGTGTGGTGCCATTGTCCACTAGTTCGTGTTCCACACTGGATGCAAACCCTGCAGTTCTGTGGAGAAAATGGCATAATATGCTAGAGCCATTTAGAATAAGCATAGTACAAAAAATAGAGAGGTCATTTCATTAATAAATATATGCAAGGACTATTTAATTTAATGCTACCTTAATTATATCAATAGTTTCATTTCCATTTGTTTTGACTTCATGCTGAATCTAAAACATTTATTTCACTTAAAAGCACTACATCAAAAAATAGAGACTAGTTGACAGAAAGACTGAAAATAGGGAACAGCAACAAGCTGCTGTTTTAAACCTGCAATAATTGCTTAGAATAAAACCTTTTCAGGAAAAAGCTTGGGGATGAGGCATACCATTTTTTGCTATTGTCTATGAGAATGAGGAATCTAAACATGAAAGTGTGAATATGTAGACAATATACATTTGAGATGTCCTAAACAAATGTATTGCACAGATTTTAAGCCTCTATGTTAAATTTGGTATGCAAGTTATGCCAATGATGTCAAGAAGAAATTTCTCAGAAAATTTGGTTAGAAAATACTTTCTGAAAAACATAAACTAAAAGCTTACTCATGACATGTACGATCACACAACTGGGTTTACAGTTTATAAGATCAACTACCCACACAGCTCCACAATGTTTTTTCTTTCTTTCTAAAGAAAAGATTCTGCAACTCAATTCAACAAATACGACATTAGGGGACGCAGCATCTTTCCAGCAATAAACTGGAAAGATGACTGTTTTTTTTCCGATCTGTATGTCAGAAAGACCGCACAACTCAGAGCAAAACTGACACACATATGAAGACAGGCGCTCATACTGAGGAGATGTGAGCATCAACGATTTGTGTTGGCTGCATGGTTCTGTGCTGAGTCAAGCACAGAAGCCAAAATGTGGGGGAACTCTTCACCTGCTGCTTCCTTCTCTGTGACCTACTCCAACACAACACTTGTGCATGTACACGCAAGTACATTTTGTACGATCTTTTGGCGCTGAGGCTGAACTGAAACCTTTAAGGGATCAGCTGCTCCGAGTCATTTCTTTCACACACAATGTGCATATTCCTTTGGGCCTAAGTCACTCTGCCCAGAAACAGAGCCTTGGTGTATTTATTTTCTTCCCATCTACACACACTGAACACAACATGACTGCACGAAAAAAATAAAAGAGGAAAATGGAGGGCCATTATGTAAAAACAACAATGTAAATCAACCACAATAATTTCCCACTCTAACATTGTGTATCAAGTTTCACTGCTTTTGTTACAGTTATGTTAAAATTTAAAAAAAACTTTTTTTTATCAGTCAGGAGATTGAGAAGTTTAAGATGACTCCTACCTTGCACCTCCACCCATTGGTTGGCAAAGAGTCGATAGCCGGTTGCAAGCAAAAGGTGTGGTAGCCTTTGTCGCACATGTCACACACCAGCATTTTAGTGTCCTCTCCTGGGTTCCTACAGGCAATACAGAAAATGAAGAGTGAAGTGAAACTGTGAAAGATCTGAGATGTTCTAAACAGAACTTTTTGTCAGATTCAAAATATTTTCTTTTACTGAGTCATATTTCAAAACTTCACTAAAATCAGGTACACATGATCTGGATGTACATTGTGAGTGTGTGCCACTTTCTTCTGACTTTTAGGTAGAAACACAAACAGTTACAACAACAGACAGATGCCAACACTAGTTTTGTAAGACATAAATACATAAATACTGCTTTAGACATTTGCAGAACCTTCCATGTGGCACCTCATCCCAACAAGCTCAAAAAGTTGTTTACAATCTTGCCAATGCAAATTTTCAACCAACTGAATCAAAAAGTGTTTAGTTTTCCATTTTTTATGGACAAATATAAAAACCCAGTTTGTGCATTTCATTTTTAAATTATCCAATTTGGTTTCAGGTTTCTTACAATATATTTACATGTAACTTTGCAGTATTTTTTTTCTTATGCTTTAAATGTGCCCTTGCTATGGAACCTCTTACTTCTGAATTTTTGTTATTGGGTTCTTTGTGTGAATCTGAATGTTTCAATTTACCCATCACTTTTCTGTTGGTACGCCTTAATTTCCCTACTACGGCACAATAGAGGGTTTTTCTATTCAAAATTTGCAGTACAAAGCATTAATGGATGGCTGGCTCTTTAAAAGTTTAATGTTAATACAAAATTTCAGAAAATGTTGAATTTTGTGCAATTGACAATTTATTGCACAAGATATGATAAAATCTGCTAAACAATTAAAAAACATCTGCGGTTTCCATACAAATGTAAGACTTAAGCCTCAATGGGCAGTTTATATAAAGGTCAAAGGTTACATGAATTAAGCTTCAGGGTTAAACTCCCATTTAGTTCTTCACAAGCCACAAAGGCAAACAAAACAACGTGCATCATGCCTGGGAGCAGTGCAGAAACTAAGAAGGACCACCAGTGAAAGAGACAGATTCTTTGTAAGGCTTCATTTAGGTGGGAGGTTAAAGTGACTCACTTGCATGTCTGGCAGACTTTGCACTCTGGACACTGCCAACCTGCCCTTTTTAGAGGGGTCACTGCTATGTCCAGGCACATCCCGTGGTAATGCAGACCACAACTGGTGCAGAAGAGTTGGTCTAGTAGGTCCCCTGGGCTATCGCACAGCACGCAATTTACATCGTCTACAACTATCAAACCAAACACAACAGGCACATCAGTAAATATCTAGTACAGGACATTCTTTACCTAACTGTGCAATTTCTTAACTTACATTTGTGAATTGCCAATTCAATATGTTCTGGGCAGTGGAGTGAAAGACTTCTAATATCTTGAAATGTCCCAGCTGCCCCTGCGCAGGGGTAATGGTAGAGTTGAGCACATCCTTCTGCACAGCACTTAATGGAGGCTCCAAGGCGCTTACAGTATGCACAGTGCTGTTGAGACAAAAATAAATAAATGAATAACATCGCTTTTTATAAAAACAGTCTTTGTCTGCAAAAGCTTAATAACAATAACAGTTTCATTAAAGATTGTGACTAATACTGACTTTAAAAAACAGGGAGGATGGTTTAGATCCTTCAACATTTCTGGGAAAAAAGTATGAATCTGGATTTTAGCCTTAAGAGCAAAACAATAAAATCTGAGACACTTTCTATTGTCCGCAAACTCCATGAGTGTGAACTAATAGCCACAGTAGAGATCAAGTGGCAGAATTGCTATTCAGCTCCTGGACCGATGGGCTGCAAACAATCAGAGAACTTTGAGCAGCAACACTGCTACCAGACACAGCCAACCGGCTACAAGAGCTGTGTGCTGCTGCTGAGTGGCATGACCTTTTCCATTTCACAGCTGAGAGATCCACACTGCCTCTCTGACCTTTACCAGTCAGCCTGATCCAGCCGCTTTTCTGTGCCTCAATGAAGCAATCCCTCCCTGCTGCCCTGGCACATTAAGAATGTGTTAACACCCATTAGTCTACAGATGTTCTCCCTCCACTTACCTTTGTGCTCCCTGAGTCAATGGCTCTGTCCACGTTAAGTAGAGATTGTCCCTCGCCCTCACAAACACCGTCAGACCACAAGGCACAACTCTGATGTGCCCAACATTGCCCTAAAAAATTTCAAGTAATAAAATACAACAATAAAATCAAATGGGGTTCAAATACAAAGTTTCATTAAGAGAGCAAAGAAAAAAAGAAGTTATCACCAATCCTACCTGACTCAAACAGAGACTGGACTTTAAGACCTTGTGGAAGGCCGACGTGAGAAAGCTCATCCCAAAATCGACTGGCAGAGTCTGTTTCTTCGTGGCAGGTTTCAGACCCACTGGGGGGAGGAGGAGGTGAAATTTAATACAGAAAGGAAGTTTTAAAAAATTCAAAGCGAGATAATTATACATCAGGGGTGGTCAATACGTCGATCGCGATCTACCGGTCAATCGCGGGAAGGTTTTGAGTCGATCTCGGCAGTAGGTGACAAATTGAACGCCGCCAGGACACTGAAACCAGCACTTCCTCTTCTGACGGGCTTATCAAAATTTAAATTCGCTTATCAACCACCGCTGTGTTCATCAGAGGCTTATTAATAATCGATAACTAAATATCAGCCCTGGAAACCTGTTATCGTAACGGACTGAATGTTATGTTTTTAACGTAATCTTTCCTCGGCTTGTGGGGCGCAGACAGTCGCCGTGGCAACAGGTGTGCTTAACGACAAAGGGAGAGAGAGAGTAAAAGGTGCGAACGGTTTGGAGTTGATCACCTGTTTGAGTTATTTTACATTTGTTTACTTTTGCTGTGGCGAATCACAGCCGCTGTAGTTTCTAAACGATCAATAAACGACACACTTAGACTAATTGCCTTGTTCGTTTGCAGTAAACGTCACAACAAACATCAAATAGGACAAATATATTTGATTAAGTTTTAACAAACAAATGGCTTCTACCGCGATTATTATGTGAAATTAAATTAATTATATCCCAGCTTCAGAAGATTTACCTCTACAGAGCTCTTTGGTTCCTCCAATCAGTCTGCAGTTTCGCATATTGATGTCATCAAACCTAATTTCAGATCTATCATAACTGACTGACACCTGCTGGCCTCAGGTTTGCAACCAGCTTCTGACTGAGAAACCAGTAACCTGCTCCCAGTATCAGAATCTCACTGAGGAAGAAACTAGATTAGGTTTTCTATCACTTTATCATTTCTGATATAACTGATGTATGTACGCATATAAAATAAGTCAATAGAGTTTAATTTACAATTTCTATGTCTTCATGTCATGAGGTAGATCTCAGCCGGCTGGTGAGAGAAAAAGTAGATCTTGGTCTCAAAAAGTTTGGCCACCCCTGTTATACATAGACTTTCAAAAAGCTGAAATAAGGAGACAATAAAACTGAGATGAGTGAAAGTAAAAGGCCACCTATTGTAATGAATGAAGAGTCTGGTTGTCCTGAGACATACACTGATTAAAAAGGATGTTTCTTTAAGTTGTACAACACAGAAAATAAATGAAAAAGCATTAGCGTTTCAAAGGGACCTTCATTTCAATCAATAGACAAAAAAATAAATAATTAAAAAGATTGTTTTTAATAAGATTGCACTCATGATAAGACATCTTATTGTTTATAGCCTAATTACATAACATAGTCACCTTTCGTCATACAACTGCACATGTCTGTCCATCATGCTAATTAAAAAAAAACAAAAAATAAAAACATAAAACGTACCTCCTTGCTGGCAGACTGCCAGACCAAACCACTCTATTCTCATGACAATATTAGGAACTGAGAAAACCAGAATTCAGTTCACTAAAGTCACCAAATATACTGGACTTTTGTTAAAGAAAGTCAAAGACGGCAGTAACCGGCCATTTGGAAAATGAGGATCCAATCTCTCTCCAACAACAATATTCAGTGAAGAAGAAATTACAGACGGAAGAAGACCACAGGATTCCATAGGGTAATTCCTGCTTCTTTGATAACAGAGTGTGGTGTTTCACTTTAAGAATCGCCGGTTACGGTGAAGAGATTCCCACAGTGAAACTGAAAGCAAAACTGAAGTGGTAAAGTAAGCTGAATTTTCCTTTTAGGCACGGATGGTGTGTTAGCGGTTTCTTCAGACTGCTACTTTTTGAACGTGGAAAACCGTCAGCAGATAACAGGAATGCCAAACATATTATAGCAAGGATATTCAATTTTATCCTTAGACAAGTTAAATTCTGCCAATCTGTCGTGGAAGTCTTCAGGAAAGTTGAGTAATTATGCTAAAACTAAGGGACTGGGGGTTTTAATGACAGATACTTTTGTCCAATTATCACTAAGGCTTTACTATAGTTTCATATTTTCAGTGATGCAGAGGAAGACAGTTGCTCTGGCAAAAAAAATAATCTATTTTTATGTACCTACATACATTTTAATGTTACAATATTTTAAATTCAAACAAAGTTTTTTTTTTTTTTAATTTATAGCTCAAAATCACAAACTTAAGTCAACAAAAATCAGTAGCGGCAGATTAATGATTTACAAAAATCAGTAGTCAGGCAAACTATAATTGACGTATCACCAGAAAATGTCTTTACAGATAAGAAGGACAAAACAGAAGAACACTATAATTATGAATAAGAAGGGGAACAAAGGTTAAGGAGATTTGTGGTTAATTCCATTAATTTTCTTGTTCTAGAACTATGATGATTTTGGATATTAATAAAATCAATAAATATGCATTGGTCACAAAATAAAACCTTCAGACCCAGAAGGGATTAAATCTAAAAACAATTGTGTACCAGTGTGACTTAAATAGATATTTAAAAGTGGCTGATATTCAACAGAAAAATAACATAAACCCTTAAGATTGGTTGGATAATCAGTTTTTTTGGGTTTTTTTTGCAAATGGCCCCCAGTCACCCCATCTCAATTCCACTGGGGAAAAAAAAATATTATAATGATGCAAACCCAAAAGTGAGACAACAAAGTGTCAATGTTGACAAAGTGGCAGGAAATGATTTCAAGATATTATAATTTAAAAATGTGTCAATTCTAAAAGGTAAAATATACTTTAAATGGGATCAAGATGTGATTCATTTAAAAACAAAAAATAACTCTTCAGCTTTATTTTATTATACAGTCAGAAATTCAGCTGCTTTCTGACAAACAACTTTCCCACAAAAGAATAAGTTTTAGAATATGTTGGAAGCAACATTTACAAACTAATTACATCTTGGTTTGTTTTTCTACCTTTCTGATTAATCTTTTAAACAAAAACATTTCGAAGATGGGCTTACTTGGTTTCCTTCTCTCCTGAGGTGTCGTCAACAGCCGTTTTTGGCTGAGCAGTTACGTCGCCATCACTGCCGTCGCTTGTCGAGCTTTCCTCACCGTTATGGCTGACGGGTGTTTCATGCAGAGATGTGGTGCTGAATACTTGTAGTTCCCCCTGACCCAGAAGGCTACGACCACCACAGTAACAGAAGGCACAGAGACGCTCCCTAAAATCAAGAAAATGTTCATGTTTAATTACTGTGAATAAATACAAAACAATGCATTTCAGCATGAATTTAAACTTTCTCACTTCTGGCAAAAAGGCATTTAAATGGCTCTCTTTTTCCACTTTGAACCAAAAAACATAATCGTACATACATCTAAACATAAAAATGTTTCAGATTTCTGAAGAAGACAGCGATCGTTCAAATGACAAAGCTGTGTTGTAATAAGATCCCAGGAGATGCTGCTGATTTGACCTCAGTCACTAACATTAATGGTACAGACACGCTACGAGATTGATTTCAGCCTTTAGCAAAGTGACACCTGGGAAGAGCGGACTGCATCCACCACCCAATGACTTGTGTACACAAGCAAGGCAAAAACCAATATTCTTCACTGGACAAACTACACTTTTTTTTTATTCGCATACATATAACCAATATTAACTGTGAGTCAGGCAAAGTTTTGTGTTACTGACCTGCTTTTGATTTCTCCACTTGCCGGGACAGATGGTCCTGTTGAACTCTCTGCTGGGGGGCTCTGGGCCAGAGGGGAAGGGCGTTTCTCCTCCTCTGGCGCCTCAGTGGTCTCCACTTCCACAGTTTCCACTGGCTGGATTTGTGTTTCTGTGAAAATAACAACAAAACCAAGACATTAGTTATGCAAATATCTACTAATAACTTATCATGGTTTACAAATATACATATTAAGACATACCAATAGTATTGCAGGTTAATTGGACTGAAGTCAGATTTGAGGTCAAAACCTCAAGCATTGATTACAGCTAACCCACAAGTAAGGCACAGAAAACAAACATTTCTCAAGTAGTAATGCTTATTCAGAAGTCATGTCAAGACTGACGTGTTTCTTACCATTATATAACGGCTCAATTAAAAAAACTTGAAAATCTGTATTATTACTTAGAAGTAGCATTTCACTAGGTCAGTGCAGCAAACATTCAGTGACATCATGTGAAATTTCACACTGACAATTTAAATATCTTTACATCCAAATAGCTTAACAATCAAGACAGTTAAAGAGTTGTGCAGGAAACTAGATAACAGTTTTTGACATAAATATTCAAATATCTTTTACATACAGGCACAGTTCAATAAAGAACAATATTAACAAAAGGTTATTTCCATAATTCATTTGAAAGTAAAACTATGTTCATCTGTTGTACAGCGTATGCACTCAATACTTGGCCAGGGCACCTTCTGCTTGAAATCCAGAATCAATGCGGTGACATAGAGGCGATCAGCCTTTGACACACCTGAAGTGTTTAGGAGGCCCAGGGTACTTTGATAGCAGCCTTTAGCTCATCTGCATTATTGGGGCTGGTTTCCTCCTTTTGACTTTAATCTGGACAATCAAGCACAGTGTCTTTTGGCAGCATGGGTATACACCAGGCCCTGCCAAGAAATTAAATGAGCAGCTCCATAGAGCTTGTCTGCAGAGGGAAGAATATTTTTTTTCTAAATTTCCTAGTAGATGGCTGAGTTTGGCTTTGGCCAACACCAACAGATAACATGGCATCCCAAATCACTGATCCAATCCTTTGTCTTTTTAACCTGGTTAAGACATTTCTGGTTCTGTGTGTGGATCAGGAGTATCTTAACATATGGAATGTGAGATTCTTGAATCTGTGACTCCAGCCAAATTCACTCTCTTGTGAATCTCCCACAAACATTTAAATAGCTTCTCCTTCATAATCCCCTTAAGCATGTAGTCATCACTGTTGCTTATGGACCAGTTTTTTTCCTTCCACTCAACTTTCTATTACTACCAGGGTTTCCCTGTGTGTATTATAAGCCTGGTGGGCTGCCAAGCTATAACTGCCAGGCTAAGTGTTGCTTGATTTTATTAAAAAAAAAAAAAAGAAAAAAGAAAAAAAGGAAAGAAAATACACCAGGCCTTGCTGTAATAAAAAAAAAACGTGCTCCTTAAAGCTGTAGCAGCCAAAACAAATAGTCTCTATAGTGCTTATTAAAAACTCAACAGTCAGAAAATGGAAAAGCTTAGTTTCATAAATTCAATATCCCTGTTTGTCCCTCTATATACAGCAGGGAGATGCAAAGTGCAGCAGGTCTAGCTCATTATGCAGGGCCGGTCCAACGTTGTATGGGACCTTGAGGAGAATTCGAGATAGGGACCCCTCTTCCTGCTAAGAACATCAGCACCTATCACAGCATTTCAACATGGATTTAGTGAAATCTGGGAGGGAGGGAATCTAGTTTAATTGGTTTAGCTTAAAAGCAATCACTGAAAATTGTTATTTAATGAAAACCCTGCCTATGCTGGTATCAAGCACTCTGAACAGCCAGCATCCAGAGCAATATTCATCTGTGGCTTCGTGTGGAAGGGGTTCATTTTGGAGAAACTGAATTTAGGTATTCATAAACTACATTAAAATATTGCAGAAATGAATGTTAGACATACATCACGGAATTTAAAAAACATCCATAATACATTTCACTTTCTAATAAATGTTTTTTTTCAAATATATTCTTATTTATTACATCACTGTAGTTCTTGGTTTTTTTAAAGCCCACAGTCAGAAAAGAAAAAATAAACCAACTGTTTTAAAAAATGACTGTTGTTTGAGGGAAAACAAAAGACAAGCCAGTTCATAGATTCTGAATTTCCCAATATCTCAGGCACAGCAGCAGCGAAGCACGAAGATGTATGAGAATGGAAGGCCTGGTCATGTGATGTGATGTACACATAAAAAAGCACATAAATGGGTCTGAGGAGACTGATGGGATTTTAAAAAGCTTTTAGAGGGCATTAGCCTTGGGCTCTTTCCCACTGCACCTCAATGCCAATCTCAGAGCAAGAGGAATGATGGAAGTGGAGAGAGAAGAAAAAATGCACACCCAAAGCACCATTGCAGTTCCATTTAAACCCTTTCAATTATAGCCCTAAAGACGAAGCATGGGGTGCTAAGAAAAAGCTCTCACTCATAGTTCTCACCAGTCCCCACACCAGAGAACTGGTGGGGGGACTCTGCTACCGTTACTGACACACTTTTTGTGCACTCTTGGCAAAGGGCTGCTTGGATATTGAAGCTTACTAAAACCAATGTGTGCATAATAGATCAAGAAGGGGGACTACAAAGTCTTACCTGCATCCTGAGGGTCTGTGGTCTCCGTTATCTCTGTACCATCCATGCTGTCCTCCTCATCCAAAACAACCCTTCCCCTGGTGCGACCCCTACAGCAAGGAAGAGACACAAACAAACAGAGGAAATCAAAAGGGAAAAGAAAAAAAAACAAAGGTTGGCTAATGAAGTGAAGCTGGTTGTGTGGTTATGAATTAGTTAAATAGATCCACAGTTTTCAAGGTGGTTTAATGGAGGTAATAGAGCCCAGGGCAAGGCAGAGGCTGAGTAGTAACAGGGGATGCAATAGTTTTCATCAACATGAACACAATGGAAAACACCACAAACCACCACTGAAAGTATACACATAAATTATTTCCAGCAGCACAGTGTAAACTTGTGAGAATCAAAAGATGTCTATGTATAATCTACAGCTAGTTATAAACTGAATTATTCTATTAATTTATAATGCACTGCACCCAGATACAACCACAAATACGACAAAGCTGGGTAGGCAAAAAGAGAGTAATGTGTGTGTTTAAAATGCACGAGTAGCGGGCATGACTGTGATTAAAATACACACTCATGGCCTACTTAAATATGAACAGATATAAAGCAAGCCACAAGTGTTTCAAAAAAATATTTCTATAGAAAAACCTTTTGAATTCTGATAAAAAAAATTATCAAATACATTTTGCAAAAGCTTTTGCTCAAGTTGCTATTTTAGAACAGTTCCAGTTCAGTCAACAAACTTCACAACAAACTTGACTAATTAATTTAAGGTAAAAGTTAACAATTCTGATAACTGATGGTGATTGACACTTGAACAATATCAATAGAACTTATGTTCAATAACATGTTCAATAATTTCAGTCATAAGTGGCTTCTCCTTTCAATAGGCCCCATTAAGTTTTTTGATAGACATGCCCACATTTTGGCAGGTTTAAAGTAAAATCCATACACTTTGCACTTTGAGACGATAAATTGAGGAATCATCTGTAAGACGTTCAAGGTTTTAAACGTTCCCACAACTTCATATTCCTGAGATGTCTATTGTTCCATGGTCTTCATGATGATGTTGACACAATAACATTCTCTAGTAGTCCTTTGGGGCTTAGCAGAACAGATGCACTATGGTTGAGGATGTTTCACACCAAAAAGTACGGTAGGTTCGACTAGGGACCAAAATTTCAACATTTGATAAATTTTTTGGAATGCTCTTTGCTTTCACATTCTACTGCTTCGAACTAATGCAACCCTTTGCAAAACCTGTTTGTCTTCCTCGCCTGCGGTAGCAGTGTCAAGGAAATGGCACAAAAACCTCTGAAGAAGAAAATAAGCACAACTTCCTTCCTCACAAAATGTAAACAAAATTGAAGTGCCATCAGTTTGTATACTTTTATAAAAGACTAGACAAACCAATTTTGCTTTGATTTGACCAGAATACCCTGTGCAATAGTTACCTTCCTGCTTTGGGAACGGTCTCTTCACATATGAACTCGAACCGCGCCGGACTTCACTTCAACCGAACCCAAATGAACCAAATTTTTTAGGCAAACAAACTAGAGTTCAACTAAAGCGGACTAAACAGGGCTGGTGTGAATGCACCCTTAGCTTACACATGTAATATTTAAGAACCAAGTCACTTCTGAAGGCAATTATTTGACCTGAGATTAATTTAGAGGTAGACAAGGGAAAGGAAGATGAATAAAATACACAGCACATTTAAAGAGATTTATTTATGAAAATTTTCAAAAACTAATTTACTAACTGTACACTACTTTGTGTGGATCAAGGAAAGCAACATAACAGGTTACTCTGGCTGTAGTATAATTGAAAGTGAAAAAAAAGAATAGGTAGGTGTATACTAGTCAACAATACAACACTATATTTTGCATATTAGACTTTAACACACTAACACACTTCTTAATAAACAGTACAAATACTCTCAGCAACTACTACCAAAGAATCCGCCAAGCTAATTCTGGAAACACCATTTATGGTAAAGGTGAGAATACCGAGATGACAATGATCATAAATGCAACGCCAAAAATCATCCACTGTTCGCATGATATATGGGGAGAGCCAAAAACAGTCCAAGTGAGAGCAATGTGTCTTATGTGCTCAGGAAGATACGCAGAATTAAGAGAGAGAAAAAATTGGGGGTGGTGGGGTAATCTTCAGTGCCACTGGAGGGAAAAATCACAAATGGCTATATGCCAAATCAACCCCTCCCTCTAAATGACTTCCATGGGAAGCAAACCTTAATCACAAGAATGACAGAAGGAGCCTCAAGGAAACTTTGTCTGAAAATATAATTACCAAAAAAAAGACTCATACAACTGAAAATGAATATCTTGGTGAGGTTGAAACTTCCATTATTCTGAAAAAAAAATTACACACAAACAAGTCAAACCATTTAGCCCCTGTTGAGAGGCTCGTTTAGCCATATGTGACCTTTAAAGCACAGAGCTTTCCCCAACATACACGCACCAGTCAACTTTATTTCATTAAAACTTTTTTGTATGTTAAAGTTTCTTTCCAGTTTCATTGTAGTTTTAATTTGGTTAAAATTATTTCAAACATATACTGTAGAACCACTAATAGGCAACTATGGTAAACAGGATGTTAGTATTTTAATGTTTTTATAGGGATCTTAAAATTCATTGTAACACATATAGGATATCTTTCCTGTCCACAGCCATCAACATCTATAATAACTCTTTAATTAAATGAGTTGCAGTGTTTAATTTCCTTTAAGGATCAATAAAGTATTTTTGAATTTAAACTGAAAAATAAATATTTATAGGGCACATTTATATGGCAGTGAAAGATATTAGAGCGGGAATACTATTTATTTCCAAGCCCGGAGTACCATTTCATAGCACAATCAATTTCTTATTGTACTTTCAGTTAGAAAATTAAGAAAACTGACTTCATAAATTAACACCTTCAAATTGGGCCTCTCTCTTAAAAAAAAACAACAACAATAAATAAATAAAGAGATACAGGCCCTTCAGGAAGTCATCACAACAGCGCTCCTATGTTAACCCTTTAATAACTTTTTAAACCAGAGTTTAACTGAGAAAAAGCTCCTTAGTGAGCTCAGCAGCTGCACAATTCCACCAGGTGTTTGCCAATTGCTGCTGGATAGTCTGAAGGAGCTGAGTGGGAGAGTTGAGAGAGAGGGCAAAAAGTTTGGATTGGAAACTGCAGATCGGAGCTTTATCCTCAAATGTGGTGCTCGGTCTTCCTCACGCTCACTGGCTGACATGACAGATGAAAGGATTTCTCAAACATGGATGAAAGATTCTACACTCCATGTTTCTGATGAGGGAATAGCGTTATGACATAAAGCTCAAAAAGGTCAATTTTATATAATACTTCCCCTTTAAAAAGTTAATCAAACTTTAGTCACAGAATATATATGGCAAGGTTATCCAAAGTTTTGCCTGTGACAAACATGCATGCATTTAGAAATTCAAGAAGGGGGCAAATACTTTTTTACACCACTGTGTGCCAGTGGTAATACTACAATAAATATAAATATTGGTTATTGGACACACCAGCATGAATAATATTGGGTATCAATATCAATCTTAATTTGCACATCAGGGCATGTATAATTTAAAGAGTGCTCAAAGTCAACCTTTGTGATAGTAAAATAATGCAGGCTAAAATGAGTTATACATGCAACAAAGGAGAATATATGTGTATATTTGTTTTATTGCCAACCATATGCAAACATATCCACCTTCTTGATAATTGCAACTTTATGTTTCTAAGGTGGCAGAAACAAAAGGTAAAGCAAGAAGCCTCAGAACCTTTTATAAAACTTGTTTCATATCTTATTGGCTGTTGAGTAGAAACATTTTAATTCAAGTTGTAATTTCTGAGGACAAGTCTCTATAGCTTTGTATTTCACAAACTGACCATGCCATATCAGTTCCTAAAAATAATTATTTCAGCTCCATCTTTAAAGAAAACTAGATAAATGTTCCTTTATGAACAAAAATTTTTTAAGTGCAACTATTACGACTCTTTAAGGCCTGCTTACAATGGTGGAGGGACTCTACATGAGGTTGACAAAAGAATGGCATTCCTTATAAGACAATGACCCCACCCCACCAAAACATTCAAAATACATTCAGCTTCATGACAAGAAATCACACCACTACTGGCTTTGCTCAATAAAGGCATATTAAAAATAAATAAATAAATTAACTCAAAATCACAAGATAGTCATGGTAAAAGCGAACAATGACTGGACCCTGCTGTAGTAACAACTTGTCAGAGGTTCACAAAAGAAAAGTGAATCATCATGATCTTCTAGGTCTTAACATTTGATGCTATCATTGTGTATTGATATCCAAATATTTCTGGATTAAACTGCCATCTTTTTGATATAGCCTCTGTGTTTTGTTTTTTTTTTTCATTTTGCACATCGCTCACAAATCCTCCTTAGTTTTATGGGATGTAATCTGCATGGATTTTAATTGCAAATTAACTCAATACCAATTTAAAAAAAACTACAGTATGCCACAACGTAGTAAACTGTGGTTATATGTTTACATAGCCTCCCACACAAGATTCAGTAATTATATATAACTACACTGGAAGCATAAGATTTCAGTGTTCAGACTGCCAGTTATTTCACTGAAAAACATTCAGGACTAGGGCTCAATCCTATATCGTGCACAAATCCCCCCCACCACCCTCCTCACAGTCCCACCACAGGGAGAGAAAAAAAAAGGTGAAAATAATGCTGTGGTAAGTAGTCCCAGCAAGCACAGTGCTGCCTGGAAAACCAGACCAGGATCATGCTGCTCTGAAATGGGCCGGTCAGCAGATGAAGCGTGGGCAAATCGAGTAATTTCCAACAACCAGGTTTATGAGAACAATATCCAAAATCCTTTGTGTTACATATTGTACATTTTAAAATGTGAAGTGAGTTTCCTAGCTGTAGATAAATGGTTTTGAAATAAGAGCTGAATCTAATGCTCCACAGTTATGACCACAGGGTTAGACAATGGAAGGTTGGACAGACGTGAACATTGAGCTGAATGTACCTCCAACTAAGATAGCAACAGTGATGATTAGAAGTTTATTTGCTGAATGACTATTTACTTTCAGATGATCAAGATCAAGCAACTTAACTCTGTTTAAAGTTGTCTTTCCACTGGGGCATTGACACATCATCTGCATGCTTACAGATTAAGCAATCCATTGGGAACAGGGTATTAAGATTGATTGAGAGGACAGACTTAGGAGTTAAGAAGCTAGACGGCATCATTTTACAGAGCAGTCCTAGTCCATAGTGTGTGCTATGATAGACAGAGACGTAACACCCTACCAGCACCCCATGAAAAGCATTTAAACTGGAATTACTGGAAATAAAGGAGCTACAACTCTTCACATGTAGTCCTAACAACACATATTTACACATTCTTGATACCATGCAAATCATGAAATTACAGAAAAAGCTTCACATTTTCTGCAGTAAAGTATATTTGCTTTCAAAATGTATATCACAAGCATATCCAGAGTGTGTCAAAATGTGTTGCCCTGCCAAAGATTGGTATGAAGTTTTGAAAGCTTCTTCCAAAGTTACCTATTTATCCCATTACAAACTTATCCAACCCATAAGCGCAATACAATATATCTTTACTGATCTGACAATCAGGTCAGGTCTGTCTGTCCCAATTGGTTCATCAAGACTTAATGGAAAAGATTAACCAGAAGAAAATGTCATATTATTTCCACTAGGAAATATGAAAGGGAAAAATTTGAGCAACTACATAGATATATTTAACCTCGGTCAATCTGCACTACAATCTATTCCAACAATACTTTATCCACACTAATTCGGAGACTTTCAGGCATGCAACCAAAATTAACCACCAAATAGAAAGAAAAATTGACAGTACTGCTAAACTGCTTTTCGATTTGACACAGCGGCTCCATCATTTTGATGAGAAAGCCATTTAAGAGGATCTAAACATAAAGTTACTTCTTTGAACACTGGTAGTACAATAGACACCTACTTTTTCTTGCTTTTAGCAGTTGATAGGGGTGGTGGTTGTGGTAGGATGGTGGCCGCAGCAGCATCCTTGCGCGGCCTGCCACGTGGTCGCTTGTCTGCATTGGCAGGACTTCCTGTGGACGTGGCCCCTACGCTGCTGGATGACGGCGAGGGTCCCTGGTCAGAGGTCTCCACAGTTCTATCCTCTGATGACATTCTGAAACAATAAGAAGTAAAGTTAGTTTTGAAAATTGGAAAATGGAAGCCAACATAGTATGGATCTAATTCTTCTTAGGTCTAAGTATACTACTTGAAAATCACTAGGATTTCAAATAGTAAGAAAACAGCAAGGGGTGGATAAAATAAATATATTCACACGATACAAGCCTCAATATACTAAATCAAAGCAATGTTTTTGCTACAGTGTAGGAAATACATGCCACACAATACCCCAAAAGCCAATGAACCAGAAAACATTACCTCTGTATAATTTTCCACCACCACAAATTTCAATGTTACTTTGAGGATGCAAAAAACTGAATATTTTTTAATAACTGTCATAAAACATTAGATTTGGTTCATGATTTTACACTAATCTCAAACATGCAGTTAAGACCTTAAAGTTCATGCACTTAAGCATAATGGTAGAGTGATTGGCTTTAAAAGACATTGTGTAAAAGTCAACATAATTAGGTAGTTTTCATCACCACTGCAACACAATTTTACTTGAGATGCACCAGCTGGCAACTAGAATCTGACTATTTTAGGCTCCATCAGCTCCAACAGATCCCTGGCCTGACAAGTGAAAATTACAGAAGTAATTCAGGCTCACAGCAACATCAATATTTGGGGTGGATGTTCTTACACTTGGAGGAATGAAACCTTTTTCAGTTTCAGTGAAAATAAAAGTCACAGTAAGCACAGGTATATGAAGGTATTCAGCAAAAAACAGCATGATGCATGTTGAGACATGTTTGTGGTTCCTTCAGACTGTGAGTGAGTGTAAAACTAAAGGTGGATAACAAGAAGGGTGAATGGAGAACCTAAAAGTAGTTCTGTTTTACCTTTCTGATATTTTGAAAAAAAAAAAAACTAGATAAAATTTTTAAACAGATGTCAGAGACAGACTTATTTTATTGTTGCAGAAAGACAGTGAAATTGGCAATGAAATGTAGCAGAAAACCCCCCCAGAAAAATCACAGGTGTGCCTATAAATACATGTAAATAATGCATTGCTAAATATGTATAGCATAGCTTTGTCAGACCATTTTAGTGGGGGAATTATTGGTGTTGAGCAATATGATGGCCAATGGGAGGCACCTCTTTCTGAGTCTGGCTGTTCTACAGCGGATGCTGCGGAAACTCCTGCCAGATGCCAACTAGATGAATAAACCACGGAGAGGTGGGTGGAATCGGAGTGGATCTGGTGAGCTCTGGCTAAGCAGCGTCTGTGTGCAATGTTTTGGATGGTGGGGAGTGGAGTCCCAATGATTTTTTTTTTGTTGTTGCCCAAAACCACTCTTCACATTCTGTATGTCGTGTTTTTTGACTTAATAAATATTTATCTAGATTAAAACGTCTGAAAACCGATACACATGAAGCTAGACAGCAGTGGTAAAAAGACCAAAATATAAAAGCTTCACCACAGAGAACAAGATGCACCAATTAGACTTTTTACTATATTGTTTATATTTCAGCATTGATTCCTCAATATATGAGGTCTTGTTAATATAATCTAATCACAGAGATGCATTTGTTTCACCCGGATAAATTAATAATACCTTCCAGTTTGATGTACAATAATTTGTTGTTTTTTGAGAAATCTGGTCTAGCCAGTTATAGTTTAATATCCAAGAGCGAAAACATTCTGCAGGTTCATGAATAAAAAGGTAGTAGTTTTAAGACACATGAAGAATATGAAGGGACTTTTCCCAGTCAGTGGAAATGCATTTATTCCTAAAACAAAAGAACCAGTTCCTGCATGTGTTCTGCACCTCAGTGACAACTATCTGTTCAACAACAGAACCTTGCTTAAAAAGGGTCATGCAACAAGATTCTGACTCTAAAAATGGCCTCAAATCCATAACAATAGGAGTGAAAAAAGAAACTAACCAAGGTGTTGCAGTGGTCCAGTCAAAGTCCAGGACTAAACTAGACAGGAATGCTGTGACTGGACGTCCAAGAGGCCGTGAATGAACAAACTCAATGAAGTGAGGCAACACTGTCGAGACAAATGGGCCTGACAGTGGAAACTTCAACAGGAATGTGAAAGTGAAGATCATAAAGTTGATTACAAAAGCTGCTAAATCATAGGATTTTTCTTTTTATAGTAAAATCTAACAAGTGAATGAGTGTACATACTTGATAATACTTTACCATTAAAGTGTATGTGTGGGGTACCCCTTCCCAAATGCAGACAAAATTACACTAATTTAAACATCCATATGCAGATTAGACAACATTTTGAACATTTATGAAGCAATTAGTTTCTGTGATCTATGCAGTTATTTACAGCTCTTTAGGTGACCTCACAGGTCTCCGGTCAGATTTACTTCTGAATTTTAACGAGGCAATTAAAACCTTCAAATGTTCTCTCATGAAGTAATTTCACTGATGATTTCGGTTTATGTTTGGCCCGCAAAATGCTGAAAAATAAAATCAAAGTTCAACTTCTGCTTTATATAGATAATCAAGATCTACCTCAACAAAGGTGATCTCAAAAGATGATATGCTACCACAATCTTTTACTGTGGGTCTGGTGCACTTCTAGTGATATACAGTGTTTTTGTGCAACACCATTTGGAATATTCAGTTCCCACAATACGTCACTCCTACATCCGGGTGCTCTGTTGCCATCTTGATAGAAAGGAAAAAGCTCCCCACCTCATTGATCGCACATAAGAGGACCACAATGGTTGGAGATTGTTGGATTCAAGGGTGTAAAAGCAAATGTGATAAAACAGTATAGAGAAGTTTTCATTACATCCCAGGAAGATGAGCAAACTCTGTTACTAAGCATCAAGTGTCAACTAATGTGGCTGGGTCATATCCTGAGGGAACAACTGCCATCTAATACAGTCCATGTACTGAACAAATTTCTGTAAAAATGTATTTTGGAGGCAAACCTGCATATGTGTAAGATAGATCCATTTGCACAAAGTAGAAACAAAGTTATAAAATCTAAATGTGCAAATACACATTTCTTCTTGTTTAACGCCAGCGCTTGAACAGAAAAAAAAAACCTGCTGTATTTCAGCACGTACTTTGATATACATGCAATTCCTGCTATTTCACCATATTTGTATTTATGTAATGTTAATAAAACAGTAGTACATTAAGCAGGTGGTAGACAAGGAGGCAGTAGACTGAACATGATGGTTAATTCTCAGGCCTTCTTCTTGTTATTAATGTGTTTTTAGGAGTTTCTGGTGCTTCAACTGACAATGTACACAGTAGAAACAGCCTTTCTTTATGCTCTTAAAGCTGGAGTATGCAACTTTTACATATTTTGGAAACTGTCACCATGTGACCTTGTGGTAGTATGGTATGAGATAGAAAATCTGTGAAAAATGTAGCTTCTCTGCCTTTTCCCAGTGCTAACTGGAATCAACCAATCAGAGCCACCGGTGGATCTAAGCGCTGTCAACCACAATCAACCACACGGCCAGCACTTCTTGCAAATCCTTTAGTGTTTTCTTTTTAATTTCTCTAAAATTCCCAATCTGGAAAAATAGATTTTCTACAGGACACATATGAGTTTTTCCGCGTCTCTTTATGTCACTATTATTTTCTCTGCTTTTTGAATTCTTGATGGCTGTTTTCACAATGCCATCATACTTATGTAATGCAGAATACATTTTTACTAACTTTTACTGTACAATAGAATTATTTTTGATGCTTTGCAACCTTTAAATAAAGAATTCATATGAGTTAAAATCATACTGTGAGCTGATTTTTTTTTATTATTAGGCTGAAAACATTTTACTACAGCTCAAGACTTGAAGAATGAAAGCATGGGACTCAACAGTTTAACAAATATTTCATTACCCATGTTATTCTTTTTATTTTTATCTTTTCCTTGAAAATGAATAAATAGTGGTTGTTTTCAAATGATTTAAAAAAAGGCATTTCAAACACTTTGAGGAAATGTACATTACAGAAATATGTACTATTCAAAATAATTCACTTGATTTTTGTGATGATTACCGGAGCTGTTTGTATAGTGACACATTCAGATACAGGTCCATCATATGCAATTAGTTATTCTGTAGCGAATTTATTTTGGAGGCAAACCTGCGTAAGTGGAAGACAGATCCATTTGCATCCGTCTTTAAACATCCCATAGGAAGCCATGACGGCCAGGCACGTGTGACCTTTAAAAAACATCAACCAACCAAACACAAGTAATTTATTAAATCTACTTAATTTTAATCATGCTCAAATAATAAGTGCATGTTCATCTGCATGCAGTCTTCAGTTGACTTTTTTTTAAAAAAAAAAAAAAAAAGGTTGGTAATGCAACAAAGTTTTGTTCAGCATGAAAAAAATGGGCAGCTACAAATGTTTAATACTTATTTTAGCTATTTAAAGAACATTTATAATGAAAATTTGCATTTCAGGAATACACAATGCCACATTGGCGGACATTAACCTGTGTTTCACAAGAGGCTGTTGATAGGTTTAGACCCCAGTTGTTCAGCCAGTTCACTATTAAGTCCCAAATGTGACTAGTGCTGACTTAGGATTGTACCTGACCTTAACCAGAACACGATTTCTTAATCATAATCTTCATTTTATGTACATTGTCTTGATTAATATCTTTTCAACCCAATTGTATTAGAAGATGGATACATTACATACATACAACACCAACACTATTGCAATTAGAATTTTTTTTTTTAAATCAATCCAATCCTTCAAAAGTAATACATATTATCTAGTGTTTTCAAATGATATTCATCCCAATATATATATATATATATATATGCTTATATTTCAATGATCTGTACAAGTTGTTTTTTTAATACAGTATTATTCTCTCATATATTTTAACGTTATGTTTGCCTTTGTTTGTTACTATAATCTAAATTGTAACTTTACAGTGATGCGCACAATAGCTTACTTAAGAAAGGACATTACACTTTGAAGAATATCAATTTTCAGAAATCACCTTTCACATTAGGCCAAGTGTATAATGCATCCTGGCATCATGTGTAA